TTTCTCATTTATGAAATTTTGTAAACAACAACTGTGTATAATTATTTAAAATGACATCTTAAATAAAACATAAAATACATACAAATAAAAGAAAATGCTCTGGAGCTCCCTAATTGTGACCTTTTCTCATCTTGCTGGTCGTTCAGGTTGATATATTCTTTCTTTTTACTTCTTTATCTTTTCTTTTATTAATTCTATTATTTTTTATTTTTCGCTAGCCAGAGGCCTGGCTAAGCTAAGTGTGCTGTGTTCTGGTCCACAACGTGGATTTGCAAAAAAAATTCCCACACACAAAACAAGCCTACCATTAACTACTATTAAAGATTGCATGTGGTACATATGTGCACCACATCTGAAGTCCTGCACTGAAATGGTTCGATACAAACAGGTGTACCTTTACACCTCTACTACGAGCCATAAAAGGAAAGTTGCACTTTTTTTCTAAACAGATCTCACAAGACCAGATGTGATGGGAATGTTTCTGTCGGCTCCTTTTTGGGCTGTGGGATTTGATGTGGCCACTAACCCTTTTAATTCCTGTCTTCCCTCACAGATGTTTGGGAACTGGACCTTTGGGACTCTCGTCTTCACTGTGTTGGTGTTCACCGTTACACTCAAGGTGTGTCAGCGTGTTTCTTCAGGGGGGGACGCTTGTCTATTGTATTGCATAATCCCTCCATTGAAAGCATGCATTACCATTACACGTGTGCCTGATTTGTATACATGAACAAGCTTGTGACACCTTACCTATGTTACATAAATGACTGATTACGTGCTGCTCAGTTTGCACAACAATACAATCTAAAGACAGTGTCATTGACTTTGACTGCGTGAGTGTTTACCATGTATATATTCCATTTGTTTTAGCTTGCCTTGGACACACACCACTGGACCTGGATCAATCACTTTGTCATCTGGGGATCACTGCTTTTCTACGTTATATTCTCTCTCCTCTGGGGAGGCATCATTTGGTATAGTGTGCTTTGTTTTTACTAGTACCTGTAGCCTTTATTTAGAAAAGACCGTTTCTGTAAAACCGGTTCTTTTCTCTACCTCCTGTTGCTGCTCAGGCCCTTTCTAAACTACCAGAGGATGTACTATGTGTTCATGCAAATGCTGTCCAGTGGTCCGGCCTGGCTCAGTATCATCCTGCTTATTATGATCAGCTTGCTGCCAGATGTTGTAAAGAAGGTCCTCTGCAGGGCCATGTGTCCTACAGCCACTGAACGTGCACAGGTAAGACATTGGCACCAACTCCGCAATGAAACTGAAGCTTTATATTGTCTTGTTCCCAACTTTAGAATGTTCTTTATAGTGACTTATGATAATGTTAACAAACTGCTTTGCTAAAGCCATTAACCAATAATGAATACCTTCCCATTTTTAAAAGAAAATCAACAGTTCAATTGCAGCTTTTGGCAGCACTATATGTTTCTGACCTGGAATAGTAAGTAGAGTTCTCTCAAATGGCTTATACTTAATAATTTAATAGTAATAAATCATATGAGTAAGCTACCAGTCTATTCCACTCTATTAATCATCCAGGATGACCATTAAGTCCCTAATAGCTTTGAGCATCAGTGTGACTTCCTGCTCCCTGTAGCTTAGCCTCATCTTCCTCTGAATGGAAAAATGAGTGAAAGGTCTGACAGATTTCTTCTTCCTGTGCTTTTTCTTCTCTTTTCTCCCATGTCATTGCACCCTAATGGACCATCCTAATCAATATTCACACTATCCTTCATTGTTCCTTTCTCCATTTCCTTTCATTCACCTTTTCATGCTGTATCTTCACTACTGCAATCCTCCTTTTTTCTTCTTCCTCCCTCCCTCTTCATCACTGTATCCTATTACCCCCACTGCTCCTGTGTGGTTGTGACTCTGCTTTCACCTGCTCCTTCATGGTAACTGCAGTCCACTCGCCCGTGCCTTACTGTTGAGCCGTCCACCATCTTCATGCTTTCTCAGTCCTCCAGCAGAATGAGTTTCTGATTGGCCCCGAGAGAGACAAGAGAGGAGCAGGAAGAGGAGGTGACTCTCTCTTTTAAGCCCTCGTCTCCCAGTGCATGGTGGCATGTCCTGCTGTAAACTGCTTATCACTGTCTGAACATCTCGCTCAATGTGAAACAAAACAACTAGAACGCTGTTGAAAATGCCACAATTCAGTATTTTGTGTATTTCATGTGTTTTGTGTCCCTTTTTGTATTTACTATTTAATTTGCATGTATTATACCATGTTTCATGTTGTTACTTTGAAGTATGTATTCTTTTAAAAGATGGTATATTGTGGTTGGTAGGATGTTGTCATGTAGAGCTGAAATGATTAATGGATTAATGAATTAGTCAGTCAGCGTACAGTGTCACCGTCAGCTCTGTGAAGGTGTGGTGGGTTTTTTTGACAGTTTGATGACATTGCAAAGATTAGGTGAATAATCACAAAGATAACTGACATATTAATCAATAATGAAAATAAGTAGTCGCAGCCCAACTGTCTTGCAAGGTTTTCCAAAGACAGGAATAGTTGATTTAGCAGAATTTCTTCCAACCAAATCTCCAGCTTTATGTTTTTTTATGGTTGTAAAACAAATAGTAATGAATTAGTTAATCTGCAAAAAATTATCAACTTATCACAAAAGTTGAACTATTTTAAGTAATTTTAATGCGGCACTAACTCTGGTTTTAGCTGCTCCAATGTGAATATTGCTACTTTTATCATTGTTTTAATATTTTAGAATGTTGGTTGGACAGATCAGGATATTTCAAGATAGAGCTTTGCTTTCTGAGGCAATATGATGGGCATTTTATAGAAAATACATTATTTCATAATGGAGGTAGTTGTTAGTAACAGCCCCAATTTATTGTCATCACTAAACTATTCCAAACTATCGGATTACCCAGTTCTGATTTACAGAAAACAGTCCCAAGCTTTGATAAAGTTTCATGGTACTGTTCATATTTATTTCTGGATCATATGACATTTGTAGAGTCCTAAACACACTGTGTAGCCTAGAATGGGATCTAGTATGAAGTCACATTCAGTGACCGCTCAAAGCACATTTTGATCTGCCAGCTTTTTGAACTCCAGCCAACTTTAACTGGATCTAGACACAAGCTGGTTATTACTAGATACAAAACACAAGGTCTGAGCAGATTCCATTATCACCTTTTTGCCTTTAACGTCATCCACAGAAGATAAGGGCAGCAGGGGCCTTTGAGGGCTGTGAGCCTCCTGGCCCTGCTGGTGGAGGGAGAGCCAATGAGCAGGACCTGCTCTGCCCTGATAGGACCTGTGAGAGACACAGTGGAGAAAAAGCTGCTAGGACCTATGACTCCATGATGTGTCAGAGCCTCAGCGTCCTGCTCAGCAAACCCTAGAGTCCCCCCTTGTTGGGCTAGGGTCACCATGGTAACAGCACACATCGGGCACTGACAGTAGGGTGTTGGGTTCTTAATGCTGCTGCCGTGATGCTTCTTGCTGCTCTGCACTGCATGGGGCATGCTGTTGTGCTATGGGTCCATCGTGGGGAGCGGGCTGGACCTGCTCTACATAAGCGTCTGCATGAGATGTTTCCCTCTGTCACACCTACTCTCAGGAACCCCAATCTCCAGTTAACTCTGCAGTTCTTTTTTCAAAGTGTGCTGTGCTTCTCATCACATATGGAATGGAAATTAACTTGATTGCGGGGCAGCCAAACATGACATTTCATCCTCTCTTTATAAGGCCCATTCTGTTTGTCATGTAGTCTACAGCAAGTTGTAGGCCTGTGACTGCTTTTTGGTCCTGGACTGTAGCTTAAAGTAGATATGAAAATAAAACTGAGGGACTAACAGTGAAGCTTCTTCATCAGAGGAGGTTTAATATGAGATGATAGGTTTTAGAGATTCATACAGACACAATTAGTGATGGAGGTCATATTTTACTTTTACTGTGTCACTAAGGTTACTAAAGTATTTACCCAGGTTGCCCAGACAGCTCAGCCAGTGATAGACTGTGTATCTGAAAAGTGTTGTTTTGTACCAGAAACACTGACGACATCTGGTGATGGAGGGTGAGATTGCAATTTTTGTCTTCATTTCATAAGCGTGGTCTCTCTAACACTGTTATTAATCACAATGGGATTTTCTGAGTTTCTTGCTATTAATCAGTAAATTCTATCTCTTATCCACACAGGGATTTTTTTTGTTTAGTGTTTTCTTTTTTTTTTCCAGATGATTTGATCCAGGCATTATCCAGGCATCTGGATAATAATGAACCTGTACCTTCTGATTATAACCCTTCTCTTCAGTCTTCTGCATTGAGCCATCTCATCTTTTTTTTTCTTTCTGTGATTTGATCTGCATGTTTCCATTCTTTTGGTTTCTTCTTCCTCGTTTAGAATTTTCTGCTGATGTTGCATCCTTTTTCCATCTCTCTGCAGGATTATGAGAAGCTTTTGCAGAGCGGCACGGCCGAGTTGACTCCACTGTCTTCTTGTCATTCCTACAAAGGCACGAGCACGGACTCCTCTCACCGCCACCTTGGTGCTGTGGAGACGCTGTCACTCCGCAGGTCTGATCCCCTGCCCCAGAAATTACTGGCCCACTTGGCAGAAGGAGGAGGGGCAGACTTGTGGCCCATCAGCCCCTACGTGCTCCGGCTTTCAGGGGCGGGATTTGCTTACTATGCTCCAGGGCCAGAGACCTCTGTGTGAACACAAACAGTCTGAAATTATGTGAAAGTGCATCTCAAGATACAGTATGTGACCCAGATCTGTATCACAAGGATCAAGGATTTATAGAACAAAATACAAACATGTTCAGACACACAATGTGCATTTTCTGGGCTACACCTGAGTGGACAACCTGTTAGATACAATTGCCCTGATGCGTCACACTCTGGTGGCGTTTTCTGTTTCAGTGTAGTCTCTCAATCTTCCTGCTAAAACTCTTACTTGAAAAGTGTAAGATCAGAAGGGGAACCATGTGTGTCGGTGCATTGTCTCTTGCACTATAGAGATGTCCTGTTTCAGCATGTCAACAGTCAGGCCTTTTTCTCTTCCTTGTCCTCATTTTCAGTCACACATTCTTGCCTGTTCTTTCATTTTTGTGTCCTTTTTTTTTTTTTTTGCTTCTTTGTACATACATGTACAGTATGTGGTCTGGCCAAGTAAGGGGTAGCTGTCAAGCTCAGCCCTTTAAGTGTGCATGTGTGAGAGTGTGTGCATGAATTTACCTGTAATTGTATGTTTGTATATGACACACCTTTGCCTTACAGGTGACTACACAGCAGCAGGCTAGGAGCCAAAGGAGAAAGGTGTTTAAAAAAAAAAAAAAAAAGTGGCGTATTCCCAAGCCTTAGACACACACACCCATCAGCTCAAAGAGAGAAATGGTGGAAGATCTGAAGAGGGATGTGCAGTATTTCAGCCACCCTGCCTTAATTCATAGATACCGTTCAGAGGATTATGTTTCTAGATCAGGCATGATTGTGAAAGTACAAGGAAGTTCAGAGTGCATATACGTCTGGTGCAAGTGTGCCCATTATTGTTCTTTCAGCATCAAGATAATGTCACATTTTGTTTCTGTTTTTTGTGTCAGTGTTGTAGTTGAGTCACTAAACCTCAAGTCTGAGTCCAGTCTCGAGTCCCTGGAGTTGGTCTGAGTCAAGTCCAAGTCACCAACGAATAATCTGAGTCAAGTCCCCATTACCCGAGTCAAAGTCATCAAGGTCTACACTATACACAATTTACACAGCGCTCAGCATTTTATATTCCAAACTTTCTAACAGTGTATTGCTCAGCAGTTTGATACATAAAAATCATTTAGAGAAAGGCGGTTGATGGAAATGTGCCAGATACAGCATGGTGCGGGTGAATGAGTCTCAATATCTCATGCCAAATTATTGTGGCCTATTAAAAAAAAAAAAAGAAAAGTTTGAGTCCTCGTTTCCAAATTCTGAGTCCGAATGCAGTCTGAGTCATCAGTGCTCAAGACCAAGTTGAGTCACAAGCCCTGAAAATCTGGACTTGAAGCTGACTCAAGTCCAAGTCCTGGACCTGAGTACTACAGCATGTTGCATCGTTCTGCTACTTACTGATCTGTTCTTCTGGTTGTTTCTTGTCCTCCTTTCCAAACATCATTCATCACAAACTGTATCATGATGCTTTTCACCCTTCCTGGACAATGGCCATGCTGTACTCACTCCTGCCTCCATGTGGCTGTGTAGAGTAGAGAGCAGCAGTCTTTATTTATGGATGCCCTAAATGACTTGCTATTGCTCACTATTGCATCGTGCTTGTGTGTTTGCCGCCATGCTCTGTGTAATGCAAAAGGTAATGTAAGAATGCTACTGTCATGTTCTCAAAGGAGGATTTCCCTGTGTTGCATTAATCCGTGGGTTTTTCTGTACTGTTCGAAAAATATCGATGGCTGTGACTGCTGTGTGTGGATGTAACTAAAGACCTTTGGTGTATATTGTATGAGAAGAGGTGTTATATAGTCTGTTGTGCGGTAAGCAGGAGGGAGACTTGAACCGGCGATGTCACAATCAAAATGTTGTACTGTTTTGTCCATTGTGTCCTCCAGCTGGAGATTGTAGCTCCTAATGGATGAACCTCTTTTCTGCATTTCTATCATCTGAAGTGCTCACATCTGTCACACTACATAGTGACAGTCAGTGAAGTCTTGAATGTCACCTTCTGAAACATCTTTGTATGTTTAATTATTTTCATGCACATCATCGTCTGCCAACATGTATAAATTTGATAACAGATGGTTTATTGGTTTGGGTGGAGGGTTTGGGGGACCTGGCTGTGACCTCAGTTGTTTTAAACGAAGGGCCTTGGTGCTTGTTATGAAGTGACCCACCTCACTGTGTTGTTGCCATGCTGTATCTACATGTCACATACCAGTCCTCCTACAATAATGCTATAGAGTCTATTATGCTTTCATAATGGGGATTTTTTTTTTTGGCAGTCAGGTTTTTAGCTGTCCTCCACAGTTCATTTTTCCACTTATTGTTTTTGTGTTGTCTGTTGTGAATGTTTGCTTTGCTACTTTTGTATTCCAGAGAGAAGACTATATTTTAACTCTGTTAGAATGTGTGTTCAGGTTTGTAATCAAAATGAGAGCAACATATACATTATTCAGTAGAGATTTACCAATAGGTCTACACACTGCACTTTGTTCTACAACAGATCAGTTTTCCCGTAAAAAACAAGGTCTATTGTCTGTCTGCTGGGGTTTATACTGTAAGCGTTCACTCTTCCTCACAGTTTATTTTTCTAAAAAAAACAAACAAACAAACAAAAGATTGTAGTGGGTGAGAAAAAAGTGACCAAATAACTTGACTAGGAATGAGCTGTCTCTGTCAGCCTCTGTCTCAGATGGGTTTATTGCACCGAGCCTTCTTCTGCTGACCAGAACGTCAAAACGCTTTTCTGTCAGCACAACAGCAGGTGCTCATCTTGTCACTCGTGAGCCTGGCAAAGGTATGAAATGTCGACTGTCTGTGCTGTGAACAGCACACTTCATATCATAGCTTCAGTACAGCACTGTTTGTATTACTAAACAGGTTTTGAAAAATTACTTCTTTTTTTTTTTTTAAATAAAGATTTTAATGGTTCACTTGTTGACTTTCTGCCAGCCTGCCTGTAGCAACTGAGGGCAAAGCACTGTAATGTCGTTCTGCTTGTAATAAAAGCGTGAAAACACTTCTTATCTGTTAATCTTATATATTTAGAATGTCACAGTGATGGCTTCATTTCCCTGATCATTAAGACACATTTTCTGAAGCTGTTCACCTTGTTTTCCCAAAACTACACACCCACACTCTTAAAATGATGCTCACATCTGTACAACCGTCTGACTTCCAGGTCAAAATTAGAGTTTGCTCTTGGACAACACCCAAAGGCGGTCAAAACACACACTACATGCCTGTCTCTACATACACACACACACACACACACACACATTTACCATATTGACAGAAAAACACAGAATTTTTGACATTTTTGCAGATTTATTAAAAAAGAAAAACTGAAATATCACATGGTCATAAGTATTCAGACCCTTTGCTCAGTATTTAGTAGAAGCACCCTTTTGAGCTAATACAGCCATGAGTCTTTTTGGGAATGATGCAACAAGTTTTTCACACCTGCATTTGGGGATCCTCTGCCATTCCTCCTTGCAGATCCTCTCCAGTTCTGTCAGGTTGGATGGTAAACGTTGGTGGACAGCCATTTTCAGGTCTCTCCAGAGATGCTCAATTGGGTTTAAGTCAGGGCTCTGGCTGGGCCATTCAAGAACAGTCACGGAGTTGTTGTGAAGCCACTCCTTCGTTATTTTAGCTGTGTGCTTAGGGTCATTGTCTTGTTTGAAGGTGAACCTTCGGCCCAGTCTGAGGTCCTGAGCACTCTGGAGAAGGTTTTCGTCCAGGATATCCCTGTACTTGGCCGCATTCATCCTTCCCTCGATTGCAACCAGTCGTCCTGTCCCTGCAGCTGAAAAACACCCCCATAGCATGATGCTGCCACCACCATGCTTCACTGTTGGGACTGTATTGGACAGGTGATGAGCAGTGCCTGGTTTTCTCCACACATACCGCTTAGAATTAAGGCCAAAAAGTTCTATCTTGGTCTCATCAGACCAGAGAATCTTATTTCTCACCATCTTGGAGTCCTTCAGGTGTTTTTTAGCAAACTCCATGCGGGCTTTCATGTGTCTTGCACTGAGGAGAGGCTTCTGTCGGGGCACTCTGCCCTAAAGCCCCGCCTGGTGGAGGGCTGCAGTGATGGGTGGCTTTCTACAACTTTCTCCCATCTCCCGACTGCATCTCTGGAGCTCAGCCACAGTCATCTTTGGGTTCTTCTGTACCTCTCTCACCGAGGCTCTTCTCCCCCGATAGCTCAGTTTGGCCGGACGGCCAGCTCTAGGAAGGGTTCTGGTTGTCCCAAACGTCTTCCATTTAAGGATTATGGAGGCCACTGTGCTCTTAGGAACCTTAAGTGCAGCAGAAATTTTTTTGTAACCTTGGCCAGATCTGTGCCTTGCCACAATTCTGTCTCTGAGCTCTTCAGGCAGTTCCTTTGACCTCATGATTCTCATTTGCTCTGACATGCACTGTGAGCTGTAGGGTCTTATATAGACAGGTGTGTGGCTTTTCCTAATCACGTCCAATCAGTATAATCAAACACAGCTGGACTCAAATGAAGGTGTAGAACCATCTCTGGGATGATCAGAAGAAATGGACAGCACCTAAGTTAAATATATGAGTGTCACAGCAAAGGGTCTGAATACTTATGACCATGTGATATTTCAGTTTTTCTTTTTTAATAAATCTGCAAAAATGTCAAAAATTCTGTGTTTTTCTGTCAATATGGGGTGCTGTGTGTACATTAATGAGGAAAAAAATGAACTTAAATGATTTTAGCATATGGCTGCAATATAACAAAGAGTGAAAAATTTAAGGGGGTCTGAATACTTTCCGTACCCACTGTATACCAAAAAATGAAGATAAACATTTGTACATTTAAATAGTCCAATCTGTTAGTGGAAATACAACAAGAGTGTATCTACTTGTATAGAACCCAGCTAATTTTTGTGATAACCAGGTGTCATCACAAGGTGGCAATGCAGCATTATCAGTGGTGCATGACCAGTGCGAACATTTCATGACGCAGCTGTTACGCCTTTCTTCCACACTGGATGTCACTATTGTATCAGCTGTTTTGTGTCAGATGTGCGATGCTGGCCTTCATTTCCCCTCCCCCCTCTGTCTGCCAGGTCTATACAGGTTTGCATCATCATTCGTGATGGAGCTAAAGCATACATGTATGAATGAGTCCATTTCCTCCTAATCTCCATTGTTGGTATCCTGTGCTCTGCGTCCCTCTGGGAGGACTCGTCACTTCAGCTGAGACGATCACAGCCGTCGCAGCTTCAGCATCATTCCCTCATTAATCGCTGCAGCATCCTCTCTATCCTTCATCACATCCATTTATCACAGGCATCCCTGCTGCGCACGCCCCCTTTCTCTTAAATCTGTCCTCTAGCATTTGTGTAAAACAAGACAGCAACTAGGCAATAATATCTTTGGCTAGTTCACCTTACTGCTTGGCTGGACTTATCACCACAACAGTCCCTCTCTTCTGTGCTCTTCACCATCATCCGCTCTCTGAATCACCGTTCAGAAAAAAGCAGGCAAGCTGTCTCTTCTTTCTGTGAAAGTGCCTGTTGACTGGGCAGCTGGTCTTCCACTGTCCCTCTGGAGAATGATCTTGTGGATGAAAACGGAGGAGATGGCCCTGGGGGAGCTGCTGGAAAGGCTGCGGACCGTCACCCAAAGCATAGGTAGGTGACACCAACACGCTCAACACAAACTATGGTCGGTGGTCACTGTATTTTTGATTCCACAGGATTATTCATGGATGTGTGAAACATAGATATAGATGAAATATTTATGTTAATCTGTATGCAGCCACGATAAAAGATATTGTATCTCTTGGATAGTTAAATTTAGGTACAAAGCTTTGTTTCTGCAGGAAACCACACCGGTTTTAATTAGCTCTCTTGGTGCTGTTTCTACATCAAGCTAGGTGTTTTGACCAGCAGTCTGTGTCTGTAATACAAGCCAGGATTTTGTGCAGTGGCACATGTGATATTGACATATATTATTAGATCCTGTAAGAGAAAAACATATTGCATGATGTTGTGAAACAAGATTTGAAATGAAATCAAATTTTATTTGTATAGCGCCAAATCACAACGAAGTAAGGTCTAGACCTTACTGTTATCACTATTATTATAGAGGAAAACCCAACAAATCCCCCTTGAGCAAGCACTTGGCGACAGTGGGAAGGAAAAACTCCCTTTAATGGAAGAAACCTCCGACAGACCCCGGCTCTTGGTGGGCGGCCTTCTGCCTCGACCGGTTGGGGTGAGTGGATGGAGGAGAGATGATTTATAACAGAGACAAGGTGTCCGATTATTGCATGAAACTTTGAATTTATTATATTAGTAGCAAATTTTATGTTGATAAAATCTGATGCATAATCTGTAGAGTGATGGCTATAAAATATGGAGAACCAGAGGTTGAAGACAGGTCAGTTTGTGTTGTACCTCACTAGTCCATTTCCTCAGTACTCCACCCTAATCAGTGACAAGAAATACACTGACCTACATTCAGTATGATCCACACACCTCTGTAGCTGTGGAGACTTTACTTAACTAATGCCACTCATGTGATTTATGATGTTTGCTACTCTTCTCTTTTGTTTCATTAATAGAGAGTCTCTTAATGCACACACTGCATACAGCTACTCTTAAAAGCATGAATACGCTCACATAATGATACTTGACTAATCCACCTGTCATTTAATGTGACGATATTGTTTTACTGGAGGGCTGTAATGCTTAGCTCACTCATACTGTTTTCAGAGCATTATTATTTTTAGTTGTATTTGTAACAGCTGCATATGTACAACTACAATAAGTGTGGTGAAGAGAAATAAAGTTTAGTATATAAAGTGCACACACTATTTTACTTTTACTGTACAGGATTTTTGAGTCTTCTGTAATGGCTCATGATGCAACTATTAATACAACACAGTGGGCTCTAGTTGTGTGCTCTCATTCTTAGTGCCAGAGCTAGTGAATGTATGCCAGTGGTGAGTGGGTGGGCTTGAGGAAGGAGGGATACATGGCTCCACCTAAGCTAGAGGAATGAAAATGCATAAACTGTGAATTACAAGCTGCATCACTCCACTACAATCATGCTAAAACTAAATTAAATGTAGATTTTTATAAACAGGTGTAATATTTTTGTTATACATTTACAGATATTAACTCTACTAAACATTTGCAGATATAGAATTCTGGTCACAAGCAAATGTGACAAGCATTTGCTGTGACAGGAAGATGAGAGCAGTAACTGGCCCAGAGAGGAGAGTCTAATGCTTATCACAGAAGACAGCACAGAGAAAGGGAAAGGGAGGAGACTGAGGGAAACAAAGTCATCTCAGGATGAAAAGGATTTCCAAAAAAAAAAAGAGAACCCACGTATTTTTCTTTTCCCCAGAGAAAAAGGTCAAATGCACATTTTACCTGTTAGCTCCTATTTTTTTTAACTGCTCGTTGTGTGTTATTAACATTAGTACACATGCAATATCCTCAAACTGATGCAAATAAAGTAGAAATATTTGCATCCCACACTGTGGCCATTTTTATTTTGTTTTGGTGAATACTCAGTCGCTGTGATCCAGTTGATCCATCCGTGAGTGTAGACGTTCAGACAGCATGAAGTGGCCAGAGCTGTTTAACAGCTTAGCTTAGCTTAGCTTAGACACAAAAAATATCCCATGGAAGGGATAAATGTCTGGATTTCTTCATTTTATGTAGTTGTAAATGGATAAGTAAAAAAAAAAAATAGCTCCAGTAAAAGTTTAACATTTTAATTTAGCATATTAGCATGCTAACATTAGCACTAAACAGGAAGTCCTACTGTTAAGGAGGAGGAAGATACTCCTAAGTTATTACACTCACCCTGAAGAAAATACGCACGTGTATGTGTGTGTGTGTGTGTGTGTGTGTGTCATTATTACATTGTGTAGGTTAAAATTTTTGTTCAGTGCCACTGTTGTGAGTACATGTTGCCCGGTCCCAGCGTCCTAACACACCTTCAAAGGCCTGTCAATATTTGAATTAGGTTCAGGTTAGGGCAAGGGTTGGGGTCATGCATTTAGTTGTGATATTTTGATGGTTAAGTGTTAGGCTAAGGGGCTTGGGATTTCAACAAGAGTCCTTACAAAGATACAGTAGATGTGTAATCTGTCCAAGGTTATTAGGGTACTTCATCAGAGAGTACATCCCTACAAGATTTTGTGTCAATCCATCAAACAGTGATGCAGATATTTCAGTCTGGACCAAAGCAGTAGCTCATCCTAATGAGATATCCCTCCACAGAGCCATGTCTTTAATCGTTGTGGCTAAAAATATGATCCAAGATGAGCCTGTGATATGCATTTATTTTATAGGGGAGATGACTAGTCAATTAACTGGAAAACATCAAAAGCGTAATTTATGAAAGTAATGTGATTTGCAGCGTTAATCACAGGCAGCTTCTCCTCGACTCTCGACTGGGCATTCGACCTACTTCCAGTTGATTTAAAGGGACATATTCAGTTCAGTGCATCACAGGTCTCTTCATCTGTGGCCAGAGATGCTTACCAGGCTGTTCTGCTTATGCTGTAGTAATGCTGACACATGTTGTTAGTTGGGGGATTTTTAAGCTGAAGTGGCTCATCTTGTGTGCATATGTGAATCTGCGTGAGGTTTATGAAAGTGTCTGTGCTTAACTTCAATGTTCGAGCATCCTCACAAGTTCATGATTGCTGTTTGATCAGTCATTTGTTTGTAATCAAATGATTCTCCATGGGATCGTTTGGTCAGGGGTTCATTTAGCCTCCATCAGTGAGCCTTGCTGTTCATCCCTAAAGGCGGAGCAGGTGTACAGCCAGATGGATCCAGCAGGTCATTATTAGTCTACAAATAAGCCTCTTCTCCCCCATCAAAAAGGACCCTCTATAGGATGTTTGCTCTCCTCAGTTACTGACAACGCTTTGAGCAAGAACACACCCTGAGTTTTCTGTGGATGGCACATTTAGTCTGCAGAGGAATTGTTTCTCTGCAGTGTTCATGGTTTGGCACCTGGAATGAATGCATGGAAGAATCTGGGGAGACAGAGGGTAAAAAAGGCACATTAGTTAAGAAGTGGAGAGTTATAATTAGCCCAAGCAGCAGAAGGGGATTTGTGCTCCACAATCCTTCCTCAGCCCCCCTTCACCCTGCCTCCCCCCTTGTCCTACCTTGGAAACCTATGCTCCTCTAAGCTTTCAGTAGTTGCACTGGTGACGAGGTATGTGTGTGCACCAGAGTGGGAGTGTGTGTGTTTGTGCAGGGCCAAGATGGACCCCTTCTCACCTCCAGTGTGAACAGTGTTAGTTTCAAAGGTTGTGCAGACAGTGACTCAGCTGATTTTGGTTCTGCCAGCTTTGCATTGTGCTGTTTCCTCGAGTGTCCAATGGGGCTCTGCAGAAGACGCTGGGCTTGTGTTATATGTAGCCACTGCAGACAGGATGTAGGTGAGAGCATGTTGGCCTAATCCCAAGTGATCTGGCACATTACAGTAAAAGAACGGATCCTTCCCATGCCTGCGTTTTGGACTCCATCAGATCATGCAGCGGAGCTTTGCAAGTGCAGCAAGGGGTCTCTTTGGATGTTTCTTTGAGTGCCTGAGACCTGCAGCTGGCCCTTATGTCGCTGCATGAATATCTGCGGGAAGGTGGTGAGGCATCATACCGGATCATGAACCGGCTGAGTCATCTGATCCAGAACTTGGACATCTCAGGACTGGGTTCTCCTTTCCCTTTCAGTTCTGCCAGCCGCAAGGACTCCTGGAGAGACTGGGATGGTAGGACTGACAGAGGAAGTTAGACTGTGTTGTGTGTGTGTAAATGAGAGTGTACAGCACATATATGTGCGCTTTTAGCAACTTTCTAGCACTGGAGAGTTGCACATGAGATTACATCTCTATGCACCTCAGCATACGTATGTACTGTTTAGGTGTGTGTGTGTGTGTAGTATACAATAGCAATCATTTGGAATGTCCATTAAAGGAACCTGAACAACTTGCCTTTGATCTCAGAACACAGCAGCAGTTAGAAAACTCTAAACATCAGACCAAATCATACGGTGAGCAAGAGAGATAACAAATCTTGCTAGAATGCTGTTTTGCAGCATAAGAAAAAGTGGTAAAGGCAGAATTAGCCTTAAAAAATGCACCAGGCAGGCCAGGGATGAGGATGATGAATTCTTTGATACATGTAAAAGAAGAAAAGAAAACATCATGCAGGACAGGAATGAGGGAGATGAAGTCTTCCACTCAGACAACGACTCTGCAGAGCTTGTCAGTGGCAGTGAACAGTCAGACTTCTATGACAGTGGCCAGACTGGCACAAAAAAAGCCATCTGTGGTACCAGCAAAGAAGGTGAGACCCCAGTGCACTAAAAACGCAGTCTGCAAGGTGAGGTCTTGCCTTCAAGCTGGAGGTTGCCTCAGTGTGCTCGGCCAAAAGACAAGACTTCTCCTCCTCCCACTGACATTTTTTGTTTTCCAAGTTCTGGATCATTTTTTCCATTAAACTGGAAGTTGCTTCTGCGTGTTCAGTGATCAGTCAGGACTTCTCTTGATTCCACTGGACTCGTTCATTTTCCAGATCTGTTTTTGCCTGCATTAAATCTACCTTTAGTCTGGAGGTTACCTCTGTGTGCTCAGTAAGGAGGCAGGACCTCTCCTCCCACAGGGATTTCTGGCTTATCAGTTCCTCATAATCTTTATTTCTGAGCATTTCTCTGGACTGCTCAACCCCACTGAACCTTGTCTTTAGCCAGCTCAGATATCTTCTCATCCTTTGTGCCCATGAGCAGATGAAGGTGATGTGATGAAGGCCCTGTGGTCTGTGTTTTGAGCAGACCTCAAACTCGATGCTGGTCTTCTTATCAGCAGATTGTGCTTTGGTGGTCTCTGCAAAGAGTTTTTCAATTGTAACAGTAGTCGGATCACTGACTGCCACATTGTGTCTGTGGTTTCTTTCTCTCTTAAGACAGTGCTTTGGTTGTCACAGCTGGCTGTGTTAGGTACCGTTCGCACTAGTCAGTGAGTGAACGAGAAAGAGGCGGACCCAGGTAGCCGACTTCAGTACAAGCAGTGATTTATTATATACAGTGATGAAGGGAATAACAATACACAGAGGGAAATAGTGCGTAGTCCTGTCGACGAGTGGTAGCCGGGTGTTTGACCAACCGCAGGAGGCAAGGAGATGGAGAGCTGGGCCGAGCTGCGTTGCCTGGGAGGATAGAGTGGAGCCACGGTCTGGAGCAACAGTCCTTCGGGGGAAACACAAAACAGTAGCTGGCTAGGGGAGAAAGACATACAAAAACAATCCAAATGCACGGAGTAGAGTTGGCCTAGTGACTAGAAAGAACTGGCAAGTGACTGAGGAGTGAAACCGGGTAATATAGTGAGTGACCTAATCAAGTGCAGCTGGTGATAAGGGAATGAGGAACAGGTGAACGTGATAAAGTAATTGGGCAAGAGACAGTAGGAAAGGTGAGGGAGGCCAGAGCGGCCGAGCAAACCTGACAGGCTGTAGTGCAGGTGGATCATTAAATCCTCTGACACCTGGGTTTCTAAAAGAGGAAGACTTCTTCTGAGGTTGAATGCTCTGATTCTTGTTCTTCTGTGCTTGGTGTAGGTAGGTCTCCTGGTCAGCCACCTGTTGAAAATCAAAATTTTTCCAGGGGTTAAGTGGCTGTGGCTTTCAGTCCACCTGGCTAGCTGCTTCTTCAGTAGACTGGGATTTCACACTGTCTGTTGGTACCACAGATGGCTCTTGTATGACATTCTGGTCTGTGTCACTAACTGCTGCTGTCTTCAGAGATCATAGGCAAGTTGTTCAGGTTCCTTTAACGTGCATTCCAAATGGTTGCTATTGGATACCACACACACACACACACATTTAAACTCAGTATTTAAACCTGAGTCCTATATCTTCATATTCTTCCATGAACTGAAAATAAAAATGTGAGCATGGGACTACACTGCTCAACCAATGTGCATGAGAAAACTCTTTCTCTACATTCAGCACCATTAAAGGTGTATTAGTTAAAGGACTGAAATATTTGGCTGAATAGAGTCCTTTGCCAGGACTGTATTCAGGTTTAAATACTGAGTTTAGGTGTGTGTGTGTGTGTGTGTGTAGTAAAGTCCTGACTGACACTCTGGCCAGAGTATGAAGAGCATCATGCCCAGAGCCTCACACACAGTGTTTGCTGTGGGCTTCCCTTGCTCCCCACTGGGCTGTTTTTGTGTCTTTCTTTGTGTGTTTAGTTTGTGTGTGAGTGCGTGACTGCGCAGCTTAAACAGCCACTCCAGTTTCCAAGATGTAGATCTCAGTAGCTGCAGTGACATTTTTCTGTAACATATTCTTCAGCAAATACAGAAATTGCAGCACATGGCAGCTTTACTTGTTCAAAGGAGTGGGCGCTGCTGATTGAAGCTACTGGGTTTTCAAGTTGGTGTCCAGTCAGCCAGGTTGTCGCCACTCGAAGATTTCGATTTTGTCACTGCATAGAACAGGATCAGGTCAACAGTCAGAGAAGAAAGGATGGTGAAGAGAGCCAAGAGGAGTGCTTCTCAATGGGACAGTGGCATGCAGATGGTCCAGCTTAAACCATGTGAGTCAGGGGACGTATGGATGGTATTTTTGTGTCTTTATGTGAGTAGGCTGCATGTGTGTTTTTTTTAAATATCTACGACAAGTAAATTTTTGTGTCTGTTCATTTGTGTATGTGTAGGACATAACTTTGCATATTCATTAAATATTCATTGCTTTTTTTCTAAAGTTGCTCATGTTTTTGCGGGGTAGCTTCATCCCTCGGGTCATCCTCAGATATTTATATTTACTCTGCCACAGGATATTTGTCCTTTCATGTGTGCCTCTGCATATGTCCTTATGTACACGTTCTTGTATGCATGGACATATGGGCATGTGTGGTTTCCCTTTCCTCACTACTCTGAGGTCATTAGCCATAAAGTGAATTCATACAAGACAGGAATCATGTTGTTGATTCTTCAGTTGATCGGTTTTACAGAGTGAGACCTTGAGTATTTGTACAGTCGAAATATCTGGGAAGGTAGGAATAGTTTTCCTGCGCTTGCTTGCGGTTGTAGATTACTCGTCATTAATCACCATCAGCTGATTCTTAAAATGGAACTATCAGACTAATGGATATTACAGTCCTACTACTTGTATCCACTTTGTCTGATGTTTTGTTGTATGCCTGTCTGCTTGGAGGAATCCCTTTTTAGTTTTTCATCTCAAAGATTCTCCCCTCAGTGTCTGCGTGTGTGTGTATTTTCTTATTGAACAGAGAGTTGTGCATGTTATATAGAGTAGTAATGACAAACTTGTGATTTGTGGCTATATAAACAAAAATGGAGGGCTGAAGTGACTGATTAAAATAAGCACATCTGGCAGCACTGGCAGGTGGGATCACATTGTTGCTGTTTTCATTGGTTCTGGCAGAGACATGAACTTTAGTGCAAAAGGAATTGGCTGGTGAAAAAATAAGGACAATATAAAAGGCCATGCCTTTAACAAAGTGTTTTTTTTTGTTGAGATGTGTATGCTAAAGATACATTTTTCTGGTGGTTTCTGACGACTGAGACTCCTTTTCTGATGGTTATGTCAGAGCTGGAGAAAAACCTAAATCCAGCTGCTTTCAGCCTCAGTACTCACACACTGGCTTTCTGTGGAAACATGGTCAGTCGGTGTCTTTAAGTTAGACTGAGCTGAGCTGTCAGACTGTCCCTTTGTTCGACCCTCTCGCTCACTTTACATTGTGCAGTTCTTTAAACAAATGGCTTTAGCTTTTATCTGTCAATGTTTATGACACAGATAACCTCAAACATGCCATTGACCATAGAGCAAACATGGCTTTAAACATTATGCCCCTTCTCACACACACATGCACACTCCTGCAGATGCAAGCATTCACACTTTATATAAACTTTTTCACACCACTAGACTTCTTTTAGTTGCTGTATCAGGAGCCAGAGTGGCGTGTATCAGCTCACTTTGACTGAAATATATCTTTTGTACAACTCAATGAAATGGAGTCTAAATTGCCACATTCTGTTAAGAAAGTCTCTTTCTTTGAGAAGTCTCATTAGAATTAAGTCTTTCAGTAAGTGTGTAAGAATGGGGTCTTTTGAGTGGTGTAAACAAGAATAGTGGCTTTGAATGGATGCATTCTGTGAATGGTTAAATGGGGATGCAGGCAGTGTTTAAATGGGCTGGTCAGAATGGCAGCTTTGTGCTTTAGGTCCACATATCTTGATAAGGCAGACCAGGAACCTGGACTTTGCCTGCCTAGGTAGAGGAGTGCTGGGAGCTGCAGTACCTAACCATTGTGACACAGCATATTGTAGCATTACATGATATTGTCCTGTTTGTGACTGGTCTTCTAGAGTCATAACTGGATCCCATTTTAGAGGTCAAACAGGTTGGGTGCGTTGCTATTGAGCCAGGTGGGGTCAGGTGATTGTCCTTTTTAGGGGAGGGATAAGGGTAGTTGGGAAGGCAGGCAGGGAGGGTGGAGCTGAGTGCTACACTGGGGCTTTTGTCTACAGGAACGGTAACCTGAGGTTGCAAAAGGAAGTCCTTATGTTTGTTGAGTGAGCGGCGTCCTGCAGGCTGTAGAGCACCTGCAGCTTGACGGAGTGCAGCTTTGGGAAAGGTGGAGTCAAAATGAGAGGGCAATTGTTACTGTGATAACTTTGGCAGAGCTGCATGGAACAAATGTTGCCGAAGAAGGATGAACAAGACATAGACTGCAAGAGCAGGATGGGAGTAGAGGAGCTGGAAGATGCAGGCTTGTTGATGGAGGAGGATATGGAGGCTGAGTTAGACTCTGGGTTTTGCATGGCAGCAGAGTCAGAGCTGACTCTAGCAAGACAGGTGAGTGTAGGTCCGGATGAATGGCCAGACAGAGAGAAATTGGACTGGTTTGTGATTACAGGACATGTAGATTCTCTGTCTAATAGTCAGGAGCCAAGAGAGGCAAGCCCAGGAGGACATGAAGGCAGTCAAGAGGAAGCTGAGAAGGAGGCTGATTTGGGGTCAGAGGAGAATAGAGAAACTGAAGCAAAGAGAGAAGTAGACATGGATGACCAGACTGAAGAGGAAAAGATGGAGGGAGCCTTTGATGTGTGTTTATGGCGGGTAGAGCAGAGGGATGGTCATGTACGGATCAACCTGGAGGAGGTGGAGAGATACTACAGATTTTCCTGCTGCTGTCACTGGCTGTGTGGTAGGTTGGATGTTTTGTTGTTGTATCTCATCAGGAATCTTTCTTTCACCAAACAGTATGGACCATGTACAATATTAACCACAGTATGGTTCTGTTATCTTAAGACTGCATCTTCCACCTGTCTTCCACTTTACTCTCCTTGAGTTCTGGGATTGGAAAACACTCAATTTACTTATTGTTTCTTTAATATGATTGAAATCTTGTGTCCATTTGGCTGGACAATTTCAGCCATGGAAACTCTGTAAACACAGCAGGAGATGGTCTGCATCCTGTTTTGTGTACATATGTGGGATTTGGTGTAGGTAACACTGTGATAATGATCAACAATGATGCAGTTCTGTATCATTATATTCAGACAGAACTATGAGTGAATGTGATCATTTTCTTGGGCAGGTTTTGATGAGCTGAGGTAGAACAGAGACAGTTACAAGTCTGCTGTTTTTTAACAGTCTGATTTGGCTAAATTACATCTTTTGCAGTTGAATGTTGCATCCATTTCTGACTCACCTTCACTCTTTTATGTTTGTTGACTATCACCAACGCTGATCTTTTTAAACCTTTGTCTCATCCCATGACTTCCCTCAACTTGGACTTATCTTCCCCTGCTCACCTTATTTACTTTATCTCTGTTACTCCTCCTCCTCCATGATCATGACTTATTCCACTTATTCCCACTTGTTGCCCCCTACCAACCCAGTACAAAATGGCTGAGGGAGTTGTTTCTTAAACATGAATTCACAAGCTAGTAGTCACTTTGTATAGGCTTTTATTGGTTTTACGTGTTGTGTTGTGTTGTGTTGTGTTGTGGTCTGGTAAATCAGAATCTCAAAATCAGAATCAGCTTTATTGGCCAGGTGTGTCGGACACATGAGGAGTTTGACTCTGGTACGTTGGCTCTCCATGTGCATGTACATATCCCTGTGCAAGGGGCAAGTAAACAGTAAACCAACATAAGGCTGTGTAGTATAACAAACTAAGCAGTGTAAACGGGCAGTAAAGGAATATTTCAATCAACTGCTCAGGTCCTGTGTGACTGACCCACTAACATATGACTCATTACCCACAAACATGAGTACAAGTGGACTCTAACCCCTATCGTTACGTCTTTTAAAGAACATTAGCAGCTCAACCAACAGGTTGTGCGTATATGACTGTGTGTTTACATGTATATTTGTAGGGGATGTTGGAATTATTGTTACTGTGTTTGTTCAGGATGTTTATTTTCTTGCCTTGTCAGTGAAGAGCAAAAAAAAATCACTGTAAAGTATGTTTGTATATAGTTGGGAATTTGTCATTTTCATCTCAAGATTAAAATAGAAAATATTTTGGCAATTTCTATTTAATCTATCATGTAATACAGTGCAGACAAATATGAGTAAAATAAACACTAAAAATAAATGAAGACTTTATGTCAATGAACCTTTTCAGTCTCGTTCAACCTGTGTATGTTAATATACATAACCTGAGTTTCACCACCTTAGAGAAAATAATTATAGTAATCATTATTCTGTCTCTCATTGGATTACTGTGACATCATCGATACTTATTGATGAGTAAACATATATAGAAAAAAGTAGCAGTATCTAATACTGGCTCATTCTCTCACTCTCAGACGGCCAGAAGAACTGTTAGCAATTATATAATACTGGTTGTGAAGTCTCAAAGGAAATAAAAGGATAAAAGAGGGACATTTTGTGGATGCTGTAATGTATAACAAGTGACAAAAAGTGAATCTAAGAAGTGGCTGAAATTCAGATCGGACTTCTTTCAGGAGGGGATTTTTCAGTAACACTATAGCCTCTTTTGCTGGTCTGGATGGGGGGGTGCTGGTTTTGATCTGATATGTGTGGGAGTAGCTGGGGGCAAGGTGTGGCAGGCTGAGTGCGGCTGGGTCAGAAAGTGGAACCTGATGGAGTTTCTGTGTGAACCTGAGTCCTTGAGATGTGTGTGAGTGCCTGTGAGCGGCCTGCAGGTGGCTAGACAGGTGCAGCTTTGTGTCCAAACCCCTTAGGCAGTGAGGTGGCAGCACCATGTTAGAAGCATCACTGATGTGGTCATTTATCTAGCCTCATTTCTGCTTGCCTGGTGTCTGTTAAGGAGCCATTGTAGTGTGCACACCTTTGCTCGAGGACAAAGTGAAACAAAAGAGAGAAAAGGTGTCTCAAATAACGTGTATATCAGTTAGTTGTTGCTAATCAATATTTGTTAACTGTTATTGGTAAAAGTGCTAGGTCAGTAGAAGAGAAGGCAGATAAAGAATATCCCTGTAGGTAAAAATAGAAAGGGTGAAAAGTATTGCACAGATTCTTTTTTTCCATGAGGTTGTGCAATTTATAATGTCTGCCCAGTGACAGGAAGTCTTTACACGTATAACAGTTGAACTGATGAGTGTCAGTGAATAGCACTTTTGGTCACCCTGGGTTAACAGTATTAATTCTAGTTTTGCACATGACTAAATTGTCTATGCAACACCATATGTACAGTACAGTGAACAAAACAGTATATACATACTGTATGTGTCTGTGTATTCTTTGACAGGGTAGATTAGTGTAGTATATGCATCAGTCTCAGAGGTTAAAACAAGCTGCTCCAGTGGATAGAAGCAGGTTGTAACAACATATAAATAGATGTCTGATGACAGTTAGAGGTTGTTTGGTTATGTTGCCATCATCGTAAATGAAATGTGATCAAACCACATCCACACTGTCAAATTTTAACCATGTTTGCTTAAATCACAACTATTACATGCCACTGAGAAATCTTCTGATTCAATATGAGGTTTTCAGTGGCTTTATGTGTTAAACGAGTGTCCTGTCATCTTTGAAGTAAGATTATGTTCATTCATTTAAAAGCTGTTGAACATCCCTGTGCACTTTACAGTACTATGGTAATCTTTTTGTTATGACTCATCTTCGGCTCATGCAAAGAGAGTTCACCGGTTAACTTCTGTATGTTTTAGCCCATTGTGTGTTTACTTTAAATTACTGCTGACCATGTTACAAAACACATTATATGTTTTATTGTTTTTGTAAAAGACCATTGTTAATGGTTGCTAATACAGTTAGAACTGGGATTAACTTCTCTGTACTGGTGTGTGTGTAAATACACTTGACTAAGTAGCCATGCACAGATCTGATTTATGAAGAATTGGGCTGTTGAATGAGTCCTATCTTATGTGTGTGTGTGTGTGTGTGTGTGTGTGTGTGTGTGTGTGCGTGAGAGAAAGAGAGAAAGGGAGAGACAGAGATAGCAAGCAATATCAGTGTAGTAATACCTCAGGGCCAAGTCACCTGATAGGTCTCATTGAAGAGTAGCAAGCCTCTTTGCTTTGTCTCACCTGCACTCAGAGGAGTGCTCAAAGTCAAAGCGATGTGCTGGTTTGGAGACAGACACAGTCCATTTGACACAGAAAACAGAAAGGAACAACATGACGCTGAAGGATATTTTGTGCTATTCCAAATGGACTGAGCTCTAGTGAGTAAAAGGGCAGTCTTGGTGGATGTGTCTGGTGTCGCTGCTGTGTGGGGAACGGTACAGGGAAAGGTCTTGGGACAGACTTAGCATTCATCCATTTCTTGTCAGTGTAGTTCCTGATATCCTGCTTTTTTGAAGTTGTGTGTGTGTTTTTGTATAATAGTTATTTGTTTTTGAAGGGTCTGAGAATCTCTGAGTTTACCAAGACGGTACACACACAGGTGGTATAAAACTACAAGGGTAACATTTGCGAGTGCTTGCCCTCAATGTATATACAAGCTTAATATGATTTTTCATCAATAATAGTTGTGAGCTTTGCAAATAATAAAGTGTTTTGCTACAGAAAGAACTGTATGGAACCGCGACTAACATTATTAGTGTAACACTGACGTGGTTACTCAGTAGGGACTGCCCCAGGAAAATGAAAAGTCAGTATAGCTTTTACTGTTATTTACTTTAACTTCACCATTTATGTTTGTACTGTAACCACATTTACAGGACGATGTCTGTGAGCATCTCTTGAATTTTCTCATCACTAGATGCTGCTCCTTATTATTTTCCCCATTACCTTCATATGTAGTTTCACAGCTGCAGCCTATACAGTACATTATGAAGCAGTTTGTGCACTATAGAAAGGCTTTTTTAAGATACCGGTAATACTATTTTTCATTTTGCATGCAGAAGAACTATAGCTCTCCAGCTCTGGGCATCTTGGTGAGCAAGAAGTGTTGTCATATAGAAAATAAAAAAGTAATGGAGGGCTGAAGAGGCCAGTGCTTTGTGTTTTTGTAACTCTGAACGCTACCAGCTCTGTCTTGGTTTTTTTAACTTTAAGGACAAATATGCCTGAAGAACCACATTTGGCTGAAACAAGATATAAAATATGCAGGCATCTGTAGACATCGTCTTGATAGATGTGGCCAGTAACTGAGGAATTCTTTTTCACATTTTGATCTTTACTGGTCTTGTTAAACTGCCCTGATAAAAAGTGTTCTAACACAAATGTTAAGATTGATGCTGAACTACTTTTACAGTAGCTTAGCAGTATTTGACTGGCGTACACCTGCTTATTTTTCACTTCCCTCAAGCCTCTCTGTGCATCTACAATTGACAGAGTAACAGTTTAGTTCAATGAGATGTGATGCTGAAGCAACATGAATCTCAAAGACATTGCTTTGTCTGAGGATACAAGAAGAATGGGTTGATGTGTGTGTGTTAGTGTAGGTGGTGCTGGCTGCAGAACTCCAGTGAAACAAATGTGAGTGATTGACTTGTTTGTTCAGTGCTGGGGGAGCAGCACCTACAGCACATACTGCTGAAGATGTAGACAGTTGCTCACAGCAGAGCATAAAGAGAATCTGAAGTTATGGTTGCCATGTAAAATGAAAAATAATGTGTACATTGTACTTGTATGAACACAGACAGTATAAGAAACACACATAGCAAAGCAGCATTATATTCCAATAGGACTAACAGAGATCTCTACTTTGCCAGTTTGTTATTGATCTGTTTCCCCTTTGCTGTGTAGTTCTCTGTTTCAAATTGAACTGTGGTCATTTTTCACCCACCAAGTAGAACTGAACACAAATCAATGAATGTGCTGTATATTCAGTGGAGACTGTTTTAAAGCACACTATTCATGAAGACAAACAGCTGTTTTTCAGTGTAACCCTATATCTATTTCATCAGAATAAATATGTTTGTGCATTGTCTTACAAATTAGACCACAATGAAAAAATACTTACCTGTATCAATATATTACTGCAGCAGTTTCCTATAAATAATGATTTTGTAATAACAGAGTCTGTCAGTAAGAGTAAGTCTATGAGCTGATCAAAAAGTCAGTGGCTAGAGTATTAATGTTCCCCCCATGCCCTATGTGGGTCTGCTGCCCAACCTCCAGTTTGATCCCTGGTATAATCAAAATCCTCCTCTCCTATCAGGGGATGAACCTTATATCTGATTATTTTAATCCTTATGAAGGGAGTGGTAATGGAGTCTGCTGTCTTATTTATGTGTTATGTACCACATAAAAGATCTGTGCAGCCTAACAGCAAAGAAAAATGGACTGACAATTGGAAAGTTCACTGCCATAGCTTTATTTCTTGAAAAATGTATGTTTTTAAGTTAGTTCTGCTCTTATTTAGTGTGGATGGCAATGCAGCATGTCTATCTTGTCCAGCAGTATCACATAAAACCAATATTATAAATATGGAAGCATCCTTGATAATTACACAGACCAGATGAATCAACTTCAGGATCTTTCCAAATGGCACATCTTCTTTCAGCTTTGATGAATCACTAATATTGGCTTTTGTTTGGTTTTTGACAGATGAAATCATGCAGCTGGACAGCAGTCCCCTCCGCGCTGCTGACATCACCCCTGACCTCAAGAAGCAGTTTGCCTTCCTTTCAGGTAATGGGGTGAATGGGGACGTGTGCTTCTAGTTTCCCTGCTGTCAGCCAGTTTAGTTCTTCATTAGCATTAGCATCATTCTCATCTCTGCCATCTGGAAAGTCATTTATATTTTAACTATTTCATATTTACATAGCTTGACTCAACGGTTTTCTCTGGCAGTCATTTGCTAATCAAATGTCACAGCCTTCTGTTTCCTCTTAACTGATTTGTTGGTCCAGATGCCTTATTGCTATCTTTTCTACTTTATGTGAAGCATTATGTTTTCATCCCTACAAGTGTTTTTCATGATGTTTGTACCTCTTATTGCAGAGCTTGGTAAATGTTTATGGAATCTATTATATCCATACAGTACTGTAAAAACTGTCCTGTGTGTGTGTGTGTGTGTGTGTGTGTGTGTATATGTGTGTCAGAGGTGACTGTGGCTGCAGCAGAGTCGGGAACCATTTTGCAAACAAAGATCTAAGCTGACGTCAAAACCATGACCGTGCACTTGCTGTTGCTATAGCGATGAGAGAAGAAAAGGCCGACAGATTGATATTCCAGTCACATGCGCTGATAGAGCAGCTGTTCCACACTAGGAGTGAGATTGTGTGTGTGTTTCTGTGGCTGTGTGAACAAATCTTAGCCCAATGCCTCCATCACTGTGAGGACATTTCAGGACTGTGGGGACATTTTTAACGGTCCTCATGACTTCAATGGGCTGTTTGATGGTTAAGGTTGGAAGTAGATTTAGGTTAAGGGCTAGATAATGCATTTTGTCAGTGAGTGTCCTCACAATCATAGAAAGACCACCATGTTTGTGAGTAAATAATATTAATGCATATGATGAAGTGCTACAGGAAGACACAACCTTCTGCCAACAGAAGAGATTATTTAGTGGGTGGTGCTCAGTTGGAGAAAGGTGATGTCACATACTTTTGTGCACCAATCGGAATTTTAGCATCAACATTTAATTGCAGCTATGGGGGTGTTTTCTTGTGTTTCCAGGCAGCAAATCAAATATATTTAAGTCGCACCCACACAGTCCTGATGAAGAACACGAACAGAATGTTTAAGTGTTAAACTAATTAATTGCAAAGGAAGTTTTTCCCCAGTGTTTGGAAGGTTTATTATTTAAAAATAAAGGACTATGAGGTAAAAATCTGTGCTAACTTGGGAATGTAAATACTGCATTAATGTAATATAAGTGGATAAAATCCTCTTTTCATTACCATCCAGTTAATTTTTAAGGTATTTTTACTCTTCCTTTTTCACATTTTACATTTCATTGAGTTGCTATTTCTAAATTCTAAGCAATCTGGGTATATTGAAAAAGTGAATCTATATTAGATTTTTGATATATTTTATTTTGCTTTTAGATGTGACTAAATTTGTTCTGGAGCAACCTGCAGTTTTGTCTGCACAGACTCAATACATCACTCTCACAGCTTTAACATCGGTGCCTCCATGTGGCCGGGGCTCTCTTCTTTCATTTTTACTGAACACCATCAAAAGACATTTTATTGACAAAGCTCTCAACAGCAGCACCAAAACCATAAAACTTAAAAGATGAAAACATAAAGTTTAAATGATTTTGTCTTTGCCTTATATGTTATTCCTCTCCAAGGAGATATACACGAAGCATTCTTATTTAATGCTTGTTTAATTCATAATGTTTCTCTTTTCTGTTTTCCAGGGGGGAGGGGAGATAATGGCAGCCCCATCATTGTGTTCCCAGAATTCCCTGCATTTGGAGAGATAACAGACAGAGAGTTTCACAATGTGCTAACCTACCTGACTAGTGTTCCCAGGTAAAGTTTAGAGTACCTCACCCCCTTTCTTTCCATCTTACTTCCTATTCCGCATGTTTGTTTTTGTTTTTTTACACCATCTGCTCTCCTGGGGTCATCATCAAATTATTTTCTTTCTCTTGACACTGCAGTCTAACACTCTCTGACAAACCTGTGTGGGTGTATGGATAAACTGTGAGTCATTTGATAAAGTAGAACAGAAGTGAGAAATCCTGGCCCTCGAGAGCCACTCCCTGCTTGTTTTCCAGCTATCCCTTCCCTACCTACTGCTGATTACCTGGATCAGGTGTGTTCAGTCAGTCGGAAGCAGGAAGGTACCATATCATTTTGTCTTTCCTCACTCCACCTTCATCGAGGACAGGAATTGGCCACCCCTGAAGTGAGTGAATATGAGTGACTGTTTAAAGGTTTCTGGGTTTTCTTCCACAATCCAAAGACATGTAGGTCAAGTGAATTTAAAATGGATTGATGGAAGAGGGTTGGTAATGAAGTACAAGAGGCAATACAGATAAAAACTTAGTTTGTGAATATGCTGTTTGAATATGGAGTGTGCCAGTAGGTGGCAGTGGACACTTACTGTATGACTTCATAAAGAGGTTGAGTGCAGAGGATTTGTTCACCAGCTCAGACAGTCAGTTCATTGTATAGGTACCTGTAAAAGGAGAAGAGGGCTGTGGTTTCTGTATTAATAAGGTGGCCAAGTCATAACCCAGGCTTTTTATCAGTGTTTTGCAGATTGTCTTTGTACACATGGGTATACCAGATGAATAAAGGGTGTGAGTTTGTGCTCAATGAATTCACATGAACACCTGCTCTGGCACGCGTCTATACTGAGGCATGCATGTGTTTCTTTAAAGGGTTTTAAATAATGCTATATTTTTCATATTGCTTATTTTCTTGTAAGTACTACAAATGGGAATATAAAGAATTTTTTTTTTTAATTAGCATGACCCGGACATATTTGCATTTCAGTAACGATGTAATGTTTCAACTTTTTCTTATATACGCTGTAACATTGTTCAACTGTGGAGCAATGAGAATGTGTTTTTTCTCAAATCCCAGCCGGACAGTGGACAACAGACAGATATAATTAGCATCTATTGGGTCTAAATGCACCTCCTCCATGGTTTGGAGACATGGCATTCAGTCTAGAGCTGCTGTGAATACAGAAAGAGGTGCCTGGAGCTATCCAAGGAACCAACAACCCAACAAGACACACGCAGTCCATAGACAGGGGTCAACATCCTACATTTGTAAACAGCTGCTGCTAATTTGAAACAAATACTTTGGATCAGTGTTAAATGCAGACATAAATTTTAATTTTGATTCCACCACAAATATGAATTAATTGTATCTTCTTTTATATTAACTGTTAACATTTTATTAAGATGAGCCTGGTTGCTTGGAAGTGCTGAATATTTAATTCATTTCTTGTCTTTTATTTTCTGCATCCTGGTTAATTTGCATTGCATTTAGCATCTACAAACTGAACTGGGCGGCAGTCTCCTTGTGCAGACCAGGTTATCTCTCCCTTCTCTCCTTTGATTTGCATATGCACACATGCATGGATCTGCTTTGGCTACTTGGTTTTCTGTCTGAAAAGACACCATTTACACTCAGATTTTTATCTAATCTGTTTTTAATTTAATATACCGGGGCCCTTATACTCAATTATTTTATCTGCTCTATTCAGTAGCATGGGATAAGGAGGTGATGTAGCAGTATGTCTTCGCATGCATTCATGCAGAAAATTTCCCTGATCCCTGCCATGCTATTAGGCAGAGCTTTTTCACAGCTCAACAAGAAAGTTGTGGTGCAATTATTTAAAGCACACTCATGCATGTGCAGACACAACAGTGTTTTCTATGAATATTTAAATTAATATTTTATATGTGAGCCGGTGCCTATTTGCTTTCACTTTCCCTTGCAAAACCAAAAGTAAGAAATTGCTCCATGCTGTGTTTGATTTAGTGTTTACACTGACTCTACAAGTGCTATTTTGTTTTATTTAGATCACCCTTAACATTTTGAAAACAGCAGTGTAAATGTTTCAGTTTCAGTTCAAAATCTAGTTTAACTCAATGGCCCCAATGCAACTAAGAAACAGAACAGATAAAGAGCAATGTGTGTTACTGTAGTGGGACATGTATTACTTAAAAATTCAATAGAACACTTAGTTGAAACTGTGTGAGTCATTGTGGTTCAGTAGCAGCTGGAGAGGGCCTTTGTTATTTTCTCTACTTGTGATGCTGTATGCTCACCATATCCCACCCTCTCATCTCAGCAGCCATAACCATCTCAGAGGCAGACAAACTCTCATGCTCTTCCCCCTGCCCCTCCTCGTCCTCCTGCTCAACAGTTTGTGCTCTGAAAGTGGCTGTGAGAGTCTTTGTAGATGGTTGAGTGCAAAGCTGAATATGGGGAGAAAACAGTGGGAATAGATGATAGGGGGAGGAAAGTGTAGAATAAATGGATGTGCCAATAAGTGCCACCATGAGTGTAGAACTTACAGTAAAAGAAGGTACAAAGTAGACAGATTTGGCTAAACATTCAGTATCTTCCTAAAAACTGAAACCCTCATGCTTTCTACTTTGAGCCTGTCTATAAAGATGTGCTGATTGGCTACTAGAGCTGCTCATCACTTTGGAGCCACCTTATGATTGGCTTGTGTCCCAGCAGCTCCCTGTGTCTCATTGGACAGCCTACAGATGCAGTGCAGAGGGTGCAGAGGCTGGATGCTGTGATGGTCTGAGGAAGTTGACTCCCTCCTTTTCAAAAAGCTCAGCACACTGGGATCTACTCATCTCCTGTGTTTATATTCTTTTGTCTTTATTGTTGCAAGGACTGCTCTTTTTGGCTTAATAGTTGCAGAATGGCAGGTATCAAGGTAAATACATGAGGATTGCTGGGATGATTCTGCATGAAAGGTACTGACAGTGCTAAGGTGTTCATGTATCACCTATTCTGTAGGTGTGTCATGTTTTCAGGTAAGCTTAGGGGATTCTGCTGGTGACATTGATTGTTATTAGTCGCCTCTCTCCTGGGACCAGAGAGGACAGCACGGCGGGGGTAGCGCAGGGGAGAACAGGGGGCTGGAGGCTGATGGCCAAGAAATCTAGAGGTGCTTCACAGCATCTCCTTTTATGGACTGCACCAACTGTCTAACAAGATAAAGAGCAGTATAACCAAACAGCGTGCTGTGAAAAAGCACTTGGCCTCTTCACTGTACATTTTCTCTTTTCCTCATTAAACTCTTGTTTTTTTTATGGGCTTAGACTTTTGGGGAATCATTACATTGTTGCTTCTTTTCAACCTTTGACCTTGTGGCCCTCCAAATTGCAGTGTGTGAGTTTTGATTTTTTTTTTTTTTGTTTGTTTGGCAGTGTGAGGATAATGTTTACATGATCTCACCTTACCATTCACTGTAGTGTTGCCTCTCTGTGTTACAGTTTGTCGTCCACAGAGGTAGGTTTCATTCTGGTCATTGATCGCCGGCAAGACCGATGGGCAGCCGTTAAGGGGACACTGCTTCGTATTGCAGTAAGTTTGTCTTTGTGTCTGCTTATGCACTTATTTTGTACTACTCTGTGTGCATTATCTGTGTTGTGATGGTCTCTTCTGTGTATGTGGGAGAGAAACATCCTTTTAATCAGATGTTCCAGAGACACTGGCCTTGTACTCTCAAGGGGAGAGGAGGTTTTCAAGCCACAGAAAGGTATTGGAGTTCCCCACTGCCCCGCCACTCATATCATCACACCACCCATGGGGGGGCTGATATGAGCCAACAGCATCCTTGAGCTCTCTGCTGTCTCCACTACATCCAGTCATGTGTTTCTGTAGCTACAGGGAAAAATAAACAGGCATATGTTAAAGAAAGGGGATGTTACTTTTGTTAATGGAAAAGCCGTATTTCAGCTCTGCATCAAATATGTTTACTTTATTATTATTATTTTGCAACGCAATGAGTTGCTACATGCTTTTTAAGGAAGGGAAACGGTTATATAAACTGTCTCCCTTCTTTTGAGCACATTTTCCTATTATTTTTCTAACCACTAAGATTAATCGCAGCCTTTGTCTGAGACAGTGAGCTGAATTCAGTCATGTATTTGATGCTTATTAATAGTGGGAATACAGTGGTAGAGCGTCAGAAGTAATGAATATATATCCACCTTCTGCTCTTTCTTTCCCATTTAATTTGTTCCAGTGTTCTGTGATGCGCTGAGCTCCCTGTTTGTGTTTTCAGGGGATTCACCCCCATCGCAGAATATCTCAGGTTCTGCATTAAATAGCATTGTTTTGGACAAAACCTCGTTTGTCTATCATTAACACTGAAGGCAGCAAAGTAATAAATCTACACAAAGGCAGATATACAAAAAGACAAAATGTCCGAGAGAGAATGAGCGACCATCCACATCCTCCAGAACCATGGGAGACCCACTCACTCATTTCAAATTAAATCAAGCTTTATTAACCCCACAAGGGGGGGCTTTTACTGGCTGACAGGCCGATAACAGGAGGCATTCAGTCATCCCTGCACCAATGTCCTGGGTGATCCAGGCAGGTGGCTAAATGGATGATGATGAAAGCTGGCACTTTTCAAGCTGCTACTAACTGTTGGTAGTGGCGATGGGCTAAATCAGCTCATATTCAGAGCATGGGGTGATGTATTCACTCAGATCAGTGTGTTTGTGGAGGTGTGTGTGTGAGTGTGTGTGAAAGCATAGGTGAGGAAAGGGAATGTTTATGCTGTCATATCGTTCTCTTTGTCTTTTCGTGTCTATTTATATGAGAACACAAGTGTATACATGTGGGTCAGTGTGTTTCGATGAAAGCTACCCATAGTCGTGCATGGCTGGGCTCAACGTGACGACAGACAGGAAGCGTGCTTATAGACTGGTCCTAATTAAGTCTACAGTTTCAGTCTCTCAAGCCTCCTCCTTTGTCATTTATCTGGTTTTTCTTTGAAGGTTTGTGTGTGTGTGTGTGTGTGTGTGTGTGTGTGATTCTTTGTTCTGGTTCTTGTTGACAAAGCACAAACAACAAGTCGACCTTGACCATAAATACCAGTAACCACGGATTCAAACAGCAGGTTTGAATGGTTACAATATTTGTTTAAAGGGCAAAGCTGGAGTTATTTTATTGTGTTGTTGTAAACAAAGCCCGCAAAAAGACCAAAGCCAACAAGGAATTAGTCTGTCTTGCAATACATTCTGACTTCTCTATCTTGTTCATGGCCTGTAGTCCCTAACTCCATTCATACTGGAGACATAAATCATCAGTCATGAATATTTAGTTTTATCTTTTTAATGTGCACAACTGAGCACTGTAATTTTTGACAAAACTACTCTGGAGTAAATGGTAAATAGTAAATTCACTGAATATTGGCTCTTTTTTGTTGTATGGCAACATTTACTACTGCTGCCACCATGATATAGAAACAGCAGGCTGTTTTTCATCTTTTTTATTTCAGTGCAACTATCCTAATTTTACTAGGAAGAACAAGCACTGAATTGATTTATTAATACCATTAACAGCGCAGTTCCCTAATGTTTTTATTAACAATATATTCATTATCATTTCTGCTTAGACCAGCATTCTTCAGCTCACCCAGGGAGGACTGCCAATCACGTAGGCCATCAGTTTAGGTCTCAAGCTAATTAAAGCTGCATTGTTTCAGAAGGGAAAATCAGTGTCCACCCTCATCCAACTGCTTTCACAGCAGTTGGGTAAATATCAATTCCCTTAATAGCATCCACGTTTCCCTCATTTGTGTCTTTTCCTTGCGTCTTAGTCTCACCCACATAAGATGTGAGGAGAAAATGAGAGGTCGAGGAAACATGCTTAAACAGACATGAGACATCCTTTCCCCCGATCCTTCATCTGAAGTGTCCAATCACCAACTGAATTCTGATAAAAGGGCATGTCAGTCCACAAAAAAAACTTATGTGAATAATATGTATCCTTGTTTGTGGCTCCTCACTTCTCAGAGCTGGAATAAGCTTTGGAACGACTTGACAACGGAGGAACAAAGGAATGATCAAATAATGGAATTGGGATTAACCCTTAGTCTGTCAGTGGGTGTCACTCAGTGTAGGCAGCGTAGGGAAGCTAGCACAGGTGTACTGTGCCTGTCAACAAGCCAGCAGTTGCATTTTGGACACACTGCTAATGATCCACAGAAGATTGGTTAACACCCACTTAGAGAGAATTAAAGTAATCAGTTTGATTTGAAATGAAAGCATCGATAAGTTTCTCAAAACCATCCAACTTTTTATGTTTGACAAACACTCAAATATTTGGATTAAAGAATTACAAGTCCCAAGATTCAGCAGCAAATACAGCTGAAGATTGTCTGCATAACAATGTTTAGAGATGCCATGCTTCTTGAAGACCATACCCAGAGGAAGGATATACAAGGGAAATAAAATCTGTCCCAAAATGGAGCCCTGGAGGGTCCTAAAGCATAGAGGCACCGAGGTGGACATTGAGGTGGCCATACATCCCCCACATCTTCCCCACTCACCTCTCACACTCTATGCACATGCTTGAATGTGTCTGAGTGAGACATGAGAGAAACATATATATATAATAAGTGTTGGCTTTCATTAAAAAAACAGCACATGTGCTGCTGAAATCTGATGTATAACTGACTCAGGGTGGAGGTGGATCCCGGCTGCACTGTGACATACAAGTCTCTGATTTCAGGGCTCCTTCCCTGGGAACCTCCAGCTGGTTCTGGTTCTGAGGCCCACCACCCTCCTGCAGCGCACGCTCTCCGACATCCTCTTCAAGTTCAACAGGGATGATTTCAAGATGAAGGTGCCGGTGCGTGCAGTCACTTGTGGAAACATTATGCATATATATTCATAATTCACTGGTAACAAGATGAAAAAACATTTTAAACAATTTGGAAAAATAAGATTTCTTAATCATTCTCATTGTGGTCAAATTACATGTAGGTAGTTATGGTGTTTTTGTCCCAGGTGATCATGCTGAGCTCTATAGCAGAGCTGCACTCCTACATCGATCGCACCCAGCTGACCCAGGAACTCGGGGGAATGCAGGAGTACTGCCATGAAAAGTGGATCTCTCATCGCACTGTATGTTCACTGGACAGTATACACCGCTTCACAGTGAACAAGTGAACAGTCACTGAGCAATACAATACATCTGACTATATCACCACCATACTGTACCACCCAAATCTTAAAAATGAAGACACTGCAAATCTGGCATTTTCTTGTTTCGCATCGTGAGCGTGCATGCAGACAATCTCTTTTGTGTCTCATATGCTTCAGGCTATTGAAGGCTTTGCACTGATGGTAAAGAAAATGGCACAGACTCTGCAGTCATTCGGAACTGAGTTGGCTGAAACTGAACTGCCCTGTGAAATCCAGGCCACGACCATCCTGCTCAGCACACACACCAACAAGAAAGCCAAAATGAAGGTAACACCATTCATATACACTTGCATTCTTTTACAGTACGTTAGTTATCTGAATGGATTATATACGTGGCCCCATCTGTCTGTGTGTGTCTGCAGGAGGATCTGCTGGTGGCTCTGGGTCAGGGCAGCAGGCTGTTGGAGAGCATCAATGAGCCTGTGGTGCGAGATCCCGACCACAACATGAACCAGGATGAACTGGAGAACCTGGCTACAGTGCAAAGGTTAGAACCATTAGAGCTGAAACGGGGCTGCTACTCAAACCCAGACAGAACTAAGCTGATTCTCAGAGGAAGAAATAAATCAAGATTACCAGCACATTACTAAAATTATAGGAACCAGTTTGACATATCTATTTTTACCTTTTAATACCTAAAACACTTTTTTTTTTTTAATCGGTGCTATAGTTTAAAAGATTTGTGAATTATTTGACTAAAAAGTTGAAAGAAAATATTCTTTTTTTTTTATTTTGTCATGTGTCCTGTTAATTGATCATAATTTAAACAAATACTTTTTGTTAAAGCCAAAGTGTGTCCGTGTGAAGGCTTTCTTGATTGTCTTGTGAAATTCTGAAACAACTACACTGGTGTTTTCTTCACTGCTGATGAGAAAAAGGTGGTGTTTTATCTGGTAACTGTGATGAATATTTGCTTTTATTTTTGAATGAAGAAAACCTGAATAATGGACAATCTCACTAGACTTTTTTGTAACACACTGCCATCACTTGATCATAAGTTAAACACAAGTAAGTTGGACTAAACTTATACAGTAGTGCCACCGTTGTTAGACGGCCTCTCAGGTATGTAAAAAAAGATAAAAGCCGGGAGCCTTTTGCTGTGTTTTCTGAAGGCAGGTGATTGTCTTGTCTCTTCCCATCAGTGTAGTCAGTACAGCTGCCAGGGCAGTGCGCTTTGAGGTCACTCGGTATTCTAAGCATCACTAAAGGCACAGATTCTCGTGTCAGCAGGCATTAGCTCTGTATAGCATATAATTATCCAAATACCCGAGTCTGCATTACTGCTGCATTTTCTACTCTATTCATCACTGGTTTTTTTTTGCTCTACTCAACTGCTTGTCCATCTCCATCTCTGTCTCTTGCTGTTCCCATCTCTTCCTCGGCTCCCCTGATAGACTGCTGTCTCAGCTGGATGAAACCGAAAGGGCTTTTGATGAGTTCTGGGTGAGACATCAGACCAAACTGGAGCAGTGCCTTCAACTGTGCCACTTTGAGCACAACTACAGAGAGGTGAGCAGGAGCCTGCCGGCTCAGGTGAAACTAGCTGTGCTAGATTTCCGTGTACACGCTTGCTTTTAGAACCTGGAAACTGACTGCGTTGTCTCTGCTGCAGGTGAGGGCTCTGCTGGAACAGGTTTCTGAGAAACTTGCAGCTTTCTCTGACGTTGGGATCAGCCCAGCCCATGCTGATCATATCTTCTGCGAACTCACCACCTATGAGGAGAGAGTTTGTGTAAGTGATACCCAGTCCCTCAGAGTTAAATCTTTGTCTGACCAGATGAATAAAGTCTTTATAATATGGGTTTGTTGAATTCTCAATTGCAGTTGTTTCTGAATCTCAAATGACTGTTATATACTGTCATAGAGTGCTGTTTCACATCATCATATTAGTCATTGTAGACTTTGTTTCAACATTAGCTTGGAAAAGTAACTGAACATTAGCTTGTACAGTAATATCACTTTGTTCCATAGAATTAGTATGTTTGGAAATGTGTGTGGTAAGTGGGAGAAGATAGACTACAGTGAGCAAATGTGTTGTCATTACAGATAATCAACATCATAACTCTGTATGTTAAAGCATCTACATTGTACCTTCCTGAAAATGGAATAAGATCAGGATCCTATTCTGCATCAAAATACACATATCAATCACACTGACTGACTGATGGTGACCTTGTTTTTTGGAAGGAGCTAAAACCTTTTAGTGCTACCTTTGGGCAAAATGCCATAAAATCAAAAAGTCTATAGGTTAATTTGTTTCGTAAAAATACGGTCATAATTGCAGAGTGCATTCAAAAGTGGTGGCAGTTTATATCACCCAAAATTCACAGCCAACGTATGACAAATGTATGGAATATGTAGGAAAGCAGGTTTCAGATTTCAGGCTTTCCCAGACATCTAGCAATCTACTAACTATCACACCACACTGGTCGACAGGAGGTGCTAGACAGAGCCTCAGCCTTGTCTCGTGAGGGTGATGGACTTATACAGAACTCCCACTACGCTGAAGACTCCATTCAGCCCAAATGCGCGGAGCTTCGAGCACTCAGCGAGAATGTGAGCAGCAAGCTGAGGGCCAAGAAGAACCACCTCCTCAAGGCCATGGAGCTGCATCACTGCTTGGAGAAGGTGAGACAGAAACATGCACTCCTAAAGCTGTTTCCTTGTCACGTTGTTGTTACTGACTCCACCCCCCCACCCCCCCTTCTGTCCTCTTCAGGCTTCTAAATGGGTTGATGATGGTATATACCTGCTGGCGTCTCAGCCAGTGGACAAGTGTCAGTCACATGAGGGTGCAGAGTTAGCCCTGCAGGAGCTGGAGCGTTATCTGGATAACACAGGCCAGAACCAGCTGACAGACCTCAGTGACATCTGGAAAAAATATGAGGCGGTGCTTAACCAGCAGTTCAGAGTAAGAGAGCCGACATCTGTCTTGCACAACAGAAGTGTATTTTCGTTTCAGAGTCGAACTTTGGACACTCTCAGAAAATGCTGTCAAAGAAGTTGTCACGTTGTTTTAGGGTGAACATTTTATAGAAGTTATTTTTCATTTCCCTTTCAGTTATCACACTGGATGGCATTGTGAGAAACAACAGCCTTGTTAAATTGTTAGAACACATTTAGATGATCTGTTGACGTGGAAAATATTTAAACAAGTATCAGGTATTACATATTAGCTATTTGCACTCCTTTGTCAGGACCAAGTGGAGAAGGTTTTCCAGAAGCAGGCATCCATGCAAGAGATGTTTGACAAGAGGAGGGTCAGTCTGAAGAAGCTAGCAGCCAAACAGACCAGGCCGGTGCAGCCGGTTGCCCCCAGACCCGAGGCCTTTATCAAATCCCCTCTCAGTTCACCTGGTCAGTGTCCACACAGCCACATATGGCCCATTCACTTTATACTTTTCAGACCTTTTAGGGTGATTTTATGCTCTTTGTTCTTGGGCTGGTTCTTGTGGTATTGACACTATGTATAAACCTAGACATATATTATTAGCTTCTACATTCAGATCCTAGATTCCACAGCACTGGGACACTTAAAGTAGGTGGAAAATATAAACGGCACTTTTGGTTTATACCGAGGAAATACTGCAGAAGATTTCACTGCACACACAAGTAAGCCAGAAATTATAAGTGGGGATGACAAATCTTATTATTACATTTATATAAACAACTTCTTCAGGGCATCTTAACCTAAAGTGATACTAACTCAATACTTTTGTTCTATATATATATTTATCCTCCATGCTAAAATGTCTGGAATTGTTAGTTACATCATGAACATGAGATGTGATTAGCATATGTTTTGAAATTTGGATTTAATAGTTCAGTGTATCAGAACAATTAACCCCCAGTGAAACTATGGCTATACTTAATATATATTTCTTAATAATGAATTGTGTAAAAAACAAATCTCAGGGTATGTTTATTGTATTATTTGTCCATGAGTAAAAACACATACAGCATCAGGATCAATCACCAGCATCCAAAGGAGAAATAAACACTAGCTGGTAGTTCTCAGATCAGAATGATCACAATCTAGATACCGTAGGTCATTTCAAATAAAATTAAGAGCTGCAAACATTTCTTACTTATACTCATTTCCTCTCACATTTGTTCTAATTCTGCAGTATGTCCAATTAATTTGCAATTACAAAACAAATTTTAACCAAAAATATAGGGTATACAAAAATTTGAATACAGCCTGTTTCATGTACTATCAAGTTTGTGGTGCATCAAACATTAATTTGACTGAGGACCAGCTAAATCTACTGATGTCACATGTCATCATTAGGTTATAAAATGTGCACAGGAAGACCATGCTGACCAGCTAAATCTACTGATGTCACATGTCAGCATGGTCTTCCTCTGTATGTTTTATAACCTAATGATGATTCTGCTTGCTCATCCACAGCACACAGAGCACTGCAGGAGAAAAACTGCTCAGAGACAGACCCTGGGAACAACTGTGAGAAAGTGAGTAGAATGTTGTCATGAGTCTGTTTGTGTCTGCACGCTGGCTTCTGCTTATCCTCTAACGTTTGTATTGTCTGTTGCTTATCATCATGATCCAATGTGGTTGTTTCTTTTCCCAGGGAAACGTTCAGCTGCAGAACGAAGACAGTAACAGCAGACATGCCTCTCTTTCAGGGGAGGAGGAGAACCTGGCAGTGCTCAGGAGGTGAGCGCTTTCATCTGTAATCAAGTTACACAGCAGATGGACTGTATGAAAACAGTTCTGAGAACATAAAATCCTTTATTTGATCTCTCTGCTTCCCTCTGCAGACACGTTATGAACGAGCTGCTGGAAACTGAGAGAGCGTACGTAGAGGAGCTGCTCTGTGTGCTGCAGGTAGTTATTCTATCCACAGAGGTTTTCATATCATGGCTTTTACCTGTGGATGGATGTTCATGTTCTGTTTCTGTGTGTTACAGGGATATGCCTCTGAGATGGATAATCCGGCCATGTCTCACCTCATCCCTGCTCCACTGCAGAACAAAAAGGAGATTCTGTTTGGCAACATGCCAGAAATTTACCACTTCCACAAGAGGTGAACAAGCGCCATCTGGCTCTCACTGATGATGAACACGTGATTTTAGCTATCAAGGCTCATTTACATCTAATTCTGGTCGTCCTTATGTTTTTTCTCGTCTCTTTCTGTTTTACTCTTTTATGATTTTGTTGTTTCCAGGACTTTTCTGAGGGAGTTGGAGCAGTACACTGACTGCCCAGAGTTAGTTGGAAGGTGTTTTTTAGAGAGGGTGAGTGGATTATGAGATTTTCAACACAGAGATGTGAATCTAGCTGTACTGATAAAATAGTTTCTTAAATGCAAATCCTTTTTTAATGACCTTGCTCAGATGACAGACCTGCAGATCTATGAGAAGTACTGCCACAACAAGCCTCGCTCTGAGAGCCTCTGGAGGCAGTGCTCTGACTGTGCCTTCTTCCAGGTAAACAGACTGCAAACTGAGCAGTTTAACTTAATATTCATTACTGAGATTTATTTGACACAACTCTTTTCGATTCTACTCGTGTCAGGAGTGTCAGAAGAAGCTGGAGCATAAACTTGGTTTAGATTCCTATCTGCTGAAGCCTGTTCAGAGAATTACCAAATATCAGCTGCTACTGAAGGTATGATACTGTTTGTTAGCAGCAAGTCAACGGGACTGTTCTGTCATATTTTCAGTGTTATGAGCTGCTTGTTCATGTGTTTGTGCCTACAGGAAATGCTGAAGTACAGTAAGGGCTGCGAAGGGGCCGACGACCTGCAGGAGGCGCTGACCTCCATTGTAGGCATCCTCAAGGCTGTCAATGACTCCATGCACCTCATTGCCATTACAGGGTATGAGGTAAGACATTAAACAAAATCCATGTTTGATATAGACCTCCAACTCTCTGATGTAATGTGGAAGACAGACACATAACACACAACATGAATATGATATTGTGTAAAAGCCAAACTGATTTATGAAAAAGTGAGATTGAGTTGTTTAAATATCAAATCAGGCCCTATTTACTGTACTTTAGAATATGTAAAGCATGTTGTAAGTCAGCTCTACTTAAAGCATCTTTCCCTTTATCTCTTTCCTCTCTCAGGGTAACCTCAGTGAGTTGGGTAAGCTGTTGATGCAAGGCTCATTCAGCGTGTGGACAGAGCACAAGAAAGGTCATGCCAAGGTTAAGGATCTGGCTCGTTTCAAGCCCATGCAGAGACACCTCTTCCTCCACGAGAAAGCCCTGCTCTTCTGCAAAAGGAGGGAGGAGAATGGCGAGGGCTATGAGAAAGCTCCCTCTTACAGCTTCAAACAGTCTCTGAGTGTGAGCACCTCCTTTGTTGCAGTGTTGATGCATTTGTCTCTTACATTGCCATTCATTTGTATTTATAAAATCTTTCCCTCACTATCTTTATTAACAGATGAGTGCTGTGGGTATTACTGAGAATGCAAAAGGAGACAACAAGAAGTTTGAAATCTGGAGCAACTCCAGAGAAGAGGTTTATATTGTTCAGGTACAAAGAAGAATTCATGTTTAGTGATATTCTGCATTTCTCTAATTGTCCACAGATCCTTTGAAATGGCCAAGAGCTTTACTGTTGTCCAAAACATATTAAAACACACCAGTGAGCAGTAACATGGCACTGGGTGACAGTTCCCTTATCTATGCCTTGGTGCCATAAATTTTACAGTTGTTTTAGTAATATATGCAAAGATGACAGTGCAGGTATTTCAGGAGCTTACCAAGGCCTTGAGACAGGCTCACACATTGTTAGTTTTTGGTCTTTTTTTATTGAATTTGTTGATGATACGAAGGTGCAGTATACTGTTTCTGAACAATGGAAAGTATTACACAGCTTACGCGAGCCTGATATTTCAGGCACCGTCAACAGAAGTAAAAACCACCTGGGTCAATGAGATCAGGAAGGTTCTGACAACCCAGCTGGAGGCATGCAGAGGTACAGAAAGAGCACAAACCTCTCATTACAACATATTGTGTAAATTAATGTTGACCTGAGTTTGATTCCAGGTTAAGATCATGTTAATATAAGTGTTTAACCAGGCACTGAAACGCTAGTAGTTTACCAATAATGACAGTCATTGTTCTCCCTGCGTGTTTGAGAAGCCAGCCAGCAGAGGGCACCAGACCAGGTCTTTCAGTTTCCGCCTGCACCCAGTGGAACAGCAAGTCTGAGGTAAGTCTGTATTCCCCACCAGATTTATTCTCTCTAAACAGTTTACAAGAGTTTGATTTGCTTACGTGCTTTAGTTGAAATGTGGATAATCAGTCCTGTAAACAATCCTTCCAGAGGCTGCTGAAGTTTCACATGTTTCACTGCTGTTTGCCCACAGTCCATTCAAGTCTAGTCAGAAGAGCTTTAAAAAGGGAGATGAGACAAAAGTTGAGCCCTGCAGCATTGATGCCCACTCCTCTTTTTCACCTAAGCCCACAGGAAAAGGTGAGTACAGAGGGCAAGAGAGATCCATATGTATTACCCCTTTGTGTTTGATGATTAATCCATGTCTAAACTTTCTTTTACAAGAATAATGTAGCCTCTTCCCACTTTGTTGCTTTTATTGCTTTACTCTTGCTGAACTTTCCTTCTTTCTTCCTTTTCTGTCTGTCCTGTCTTGCTTTTCCGCTGGGTCAGATGAGGCTGTGACAAGCCCGACCTCAGACAGAGCTGCTGTGAAAAAGCGTTTTACTTTACAGGGCTTCAGTAACCTCAAAGCTCAGAAAGGTAACTGCAGGCCATTGTCAGTTTTCATATCCAACATATCACGTTATTTTCTGCATTTGTGAAATAAAAATATGTTTTTCTATTTAGTAGAAAATAATTTAATTGAGTCATTTAAATAATAGATAATTTGGAAATATGCTTATTTGCCTTCTGACTGAGAGTTAGGGGAGAAGTTGGACACCACTGTCATGTCTAATGAGAAGACTAGAGAGAGTTCCTGCTCATTACTAAAGAAACCACATTTAAAGGCCACAAATTATGCTCATTTTCAGGTTTATATTGTTATTTAAAGGTTCTACTATACTACTACTATACTCTGTTTTAGCTCCTGGCCCCACTCCCAAAAAGCCAAGTCTGCCCCCTGATTGGCCAGCTCCAACAGGAGCCGCCTACCAATTTCAAGCCATGCTTCCAGATTCTGGACAGCTCTGGTTTTATCTCTGCTAACACCTTTAGTCACCTTTAGCTGCAAGTTAAACAGGCTCACTTCATACACAAGCAGTAAAATAACTTTAAAATAGCAACATGTACAGCACCAGGATGTGAGGTAGACTCACGACAGTTGGAATAGATCCATTATTGAGCTTCAGTCTGTAAGTAAATCCAGTGTTTTACTGACCCACGTTGAGAAAGCACTGTGACATGAAATGAATAGCACATAGCATGCAACATTTTAAGGAGATCTTCAGGAACATTTCTACAATAAATTTACAACATCCACTGTGTTTTCACTGGCTCTGAAGATGGAAATAAGCACAGAATCAGAATCTGCTTTATTGGCCAGGTGTGTCAGACACATGAGGAATTTGACTCTGGTACATTGGCTCTCAATGTGCATATACATATCCCCATGCAAGGCGCAAGTAAACAGTAAACCAACATAAGGCTGTGTAATATAACAAAATAAACAGTATTAACAAACAACAGTGTAAACAATGCAAAATAAACAGTATAAACAGGCAGTAAACATTGCAGACAGACAAAAGAATGCTCATTGTGAAATGAGATAAATAGGAATAAGATAGACTACTTAAAAATAGAGACCTGTATGGATCTGTATAATCTGTACAATGTATATTTACAGGTATTCTACTGAGGGTTATTGTCCAGTCATACTGTCATGGGTCAAGTGCTCATCAGAGTGACAGCCTGGGGGAAGTAACTGTCCTTGTGCCTGGTTGTCTTGGTGTACAGTGACCTGTAACGCCGTCCAGAGGCGAGGAGTTTGAACAAATTATGTCCCGGGTGTGAGGGGTCTGCAGTGATCCTAGTAGATACTTTCATGCTCATTTGTTCAACCAACAACCAAGTAGAAATCATGCTTGCCTCCAAGTCTTGCAATGTTGCTGTTCTAGCAAGAAAATCACAATGGCGGACCGGTAGCACCAAAACAGATCTGAGTGGGAGGAGGATCTGTAAAATGAGTTGCTGTGTCATTTCGTATGGACCCATAAAAAGAGACAAATCTGAACAACATGTTCAAGGAGGGGTTTTTACAAATGTGGGAAAAGCAAAACAGGCAGGGGTTGCCCTTTTGTCATGTTTTGTGTGTCTCTATACACACCAGAGATCCATGTGATTGTCAGAAAAGGCTCTAAAAGTGCATTTTGCATAATATGTGTCCTTTAATGTGCTAGTTTGTGAGCTTTAGCAGTGTTGGCAGGAGGATTATTTGATTCCCCAAACTACATCCATTAAAGAATTCATCTATTTTAAAGTCAGTAGGTCAAGCACTGCACGTTTCCCTTCACAGACCTCTCACCTACTGATGCATTTTACATTACCCATGATGATCCTGCCAATACCACGTATCACACAGCTCTAGACCCCAGTTTTATTAAATTCAGAGCAGTGTTGTGTTGATGATATTGCTTTTATGATACATAGAAAAGGCAGTTCTTCATTTCAAGAAGCATCACAACATTGAACTGCGCTTTGTAGATGCTCTCTTTATTGAAATAAGCTTTCCTCTGTTTTAACTGTCTTTCCCCAACACTTCTAATTCACTGTGCCTGTGTCATATTAGTGAAAGCTAAATATTGCAACTTCTTCTTTGACTTTGATTTTTTTTTTTCCACCTCCCATCAGAATATACCTTTTGGCTGTCAGTATGATGGTCGTGGTTTCTTTCATGCCTCAAACAACCATCCTTGTCTGTCCTTTTTCTTGCCTCATGGTAGGATCTCCCACCAGTCCCGACCATAAGACAAAACGCCAGAGCGACCCTACACCATTCGGCTTCAAAGGTAGGTCATCTGTTCAGCAGCAGCGACATGACATCCTCTCCCTGCCTGGTTAGTTGGTTATTCATGATGCCTGAGCACAGCCAAGGTCTCTAACTCTGACTTTGATTGGCTGTAGCTGCTGCAGGGTGAGTTGACTGGTTGTGTTTCTATTGCCTCCTGTCCTTCAGATGCTCATCCTCCTCCCATCCATCTGAGCAGGGCCAGGTGGTTCAGCACCTCTAGTCTCTTACAGACAAAGTGGAGAGGTATACTGGCACAACCTGGCTCACACTGGCTGTGTGTTGGACCCACTGTTTCACTACTAAAACCCCTGTAGAGATGATCTCGTTCTATTTTTGCATCCGATTTGTCCACGTTTCTTTCAGGCCTAATGAAAAGCATAGAAGTGCATAGTGATATGGAGAAATGGTTGTGTAAAATATAGTGTCGCATGCCCATGTCCCCAGTCGTATGATATGCTGGGACTCCTGGGATTAGATGTTCCTCCTCTTTGTTCACAAAGAGCTTTTTGTGCTTCTTAATTTCATACTTTCACACATGTATATCCTTCACTGCAGGTCACACACACATCTGACAGCAACTAAAGTTAAGCATTGTTATAAACTAGCACCTGTGTTTCCCTCTTGCCCTCAGGCTGGAACAAGGACTTTGTGTCCATGGATGCCTCAGAGGAGCATGATGGCTATTCCAGTGCTGAAGATCCTCTTAACTCAGACCCAGAAGAGGACAACAGCAAGAAGCTGGTGAGTCACAGTGCGTTACAAACATGTCAGTCTGTTTATCTTTGTATTAGTCACACTGTGGAAACAAAAGCCTGACTATGGTCAAATTGTATGAATTTGACTGAAGCTTTTTTGTTAAGTTTAGAGTAGGGCTGAGTTTTGGGCATGAGGTGGTTATAAATAAAGTTAAGATGAAGCTCCCACAGAGTAAATGTAAATCTTGATTTATGATTCTGCATTAAATCTACACCATACCAATGGTGTAGGTAATGTGTAACTTTGTACCCTACATGGTAGCCTGATGTGCACCTCTCCAGAAAAGACGGCACAGACAACAACGAGTGTGATTGGTTACATTGCATTTCCTCAATCAAGTCTCAGTGGTAGGACAAGCACGGAAAATCCCCCCTTGTTCTGCCTCAGTTTGTTCAGTGGTTGTACAAACTCTCTCCTCTGACATCTTCTCTCTCATCTTTGTTGCAGTAATTTCAGTAAAAGTAACTGCTGTTCAACATCTATTATTTTTAACTCCAACATGACCTGCTCAGTTTCAGTTGTCATTGTTTGTAAGTGCCAATGAAATGCAGCACAGGCATACTACTGCCAACTAGAGTTTTGGGAGTGTACGTAACTGCAGAGCAATGCAGACGCACTAGCACACAAGTATACATTTGCATAGCCTGCGTAAGCTCTATGTAGATTAAACGCAGCACCATAAATCAAGCTTAAGTTAGTGCAACGTCCTAAATCTGTTTGTGTGTGCATATCCAGTGAGTAAGTGTGCAAATAATGTTTTTGTAAAAGGTTTCAACAAGCCATGAAACTCAGAGTTTTGACCATGTGATGGTAAAGGACTGTTGAAACCAATACTGAAATAATTAGCAGCAGTTACTGTAGCTGTACTGTTCATGAGTCACATAATTAGATCATGATCCATGTTATAGCGAACACTGTCCATTCTGCCTGTACAGCCTAGCTTTTACTGTACGTTAATTTATGTCCTATCTTTGCATTCATGTGGATTTTAAATTTTAATTAAATATGAAGTATAATATCTAGATTTCATCACACTTATTGAACTACCTTCCTGTTTTTGAAAGTGAACTGTTTTATCAACACTTCTCAGTTATAATTGTAGATAATGGAGTAAACCACATGTAATGTGTCACATTATTAGGTTCTTCGTTACTAATATTCTAGTTTTAATAAATGCTGGTGTTTTATAACTTTTAATTTCAGCTTCATTAGATTTTTTTTTAAATGGGTTATTCATATTTTTGAGCACTTGGGAGAGGCAGAGCAATCTGTACTACTGATATTCATCAGAGAGCAGTTGCTCATTAACACAGCCAGCAGACACATGCTCTACTGTGTTCATCAGCTAGTTGCTAACTTTGTCTGTGTGCCTTTAAGCATATATTGGTTTATCAGAACTTTTGCAAAAAAGAGCTCCCTGCTGCCTGGAAGCATTCTTTGATCCATATCACAATACTGATTAGTGCAGCTTTAAAGTTGACACATTTTGACTCCAATTATTTGTCCATTCATAGCACAAAATTACCTTATGTGTTACTGTTACACTTGATCTGCCAAGGTTGGTTCTTTTCTAATTTCACATTGTTTCCTCATCTGCTTCTTATCTTGACTATGAACAGTGTGCTGGAAAATATACAGTGATGGCAGACTATGAGAAAGGTGACGCTCAAGAGCTTACAGTAAAGAGTGGAGACGTGGTGCAGCTGGTCAGAGAGGGGGACGATGGACAGTGGTGAGGATACAGCCTCAGTGCTGCCTGTAAGAATTAAAAACAGCTTAGAGCAGCACTGCTATAACACTGCTAATGTGTGTCTGTGGTCATGCAGGTTTGTACGTAACCTGAGCACCGCCAAGGAGGCCTGGGTCACTGCTGCTAATCTTATCACATTCATTGGAAAGTCAATATCTTGTCAGTCTCTCACCAGCTCAGGTATGCAAACAAACAATCTCAAATACAGTGTTTGAGATATGGACCCGTAATTGTTAAGAGTGCTAAATGTGTTGCTAACAGAAGGCAGCGGCTCTGGACACCTCAGCACATCGTCCAGCTGCAGTGAGACTGACACCAACCTCTGTGAAATCAAACCCTGAACTCCTCAGCACTTCTTCCATCACCAGACTGCCCTCCTGAATGCTAGCATCACGTGGCTATCCGTGCTGTATTGCCAACATCAGTACTCATAAGAATTTTGTAGGGTTTCCACAGAGAGTATTTTTTCATTATTTTATCATGCACATACACCATGTTATAAATTCACCGTGGTGCCATTGTACAGTGACGATATTTCACAGTAGAGTAGACTGATCTTCCTCTAGTGGCACACTTTGATTATTTTTATGCAGCATCCATGTGATTATACTGCAAGCGATGCATGAATGGGCCAGCAAGACTGATCTCAGTTAATGCATCTGTTTGTTCTTCAGTTTACAAATGGGGATCATATAATGGATGAAAGTTGTTTATCTTCATCTGTGTTCACCCAGAACTTTTTATTTTCACTGTTACTGTAAATAAAGAAAGTGGGAGAGACAAGTACATACAGCTTGTTTCGCTTGAATTAGTTTTTTCTGAGAGCGATCACCTCTGTGACTTGTTTCTTTCCTTTTGTGTTTATTTATTTGTAAGAGCAAAACATCCACATATTTAGTTACCTTTTTAATTTGCTTCTGACCTTTCCTTTTCTTAATGTCTGGTTAAACTTTTCTTGTTTGCCATTTGTCTCAGTTAAAAAACTTGCTCTGCTGCCAGCTGTCCGGAATCTGTGTATGAGCTTTTGTCTTTTCTGGTCTCTGTCGACCAAATGATCGAACTCGTTACGAGTTTTCATGTACGCTGCAGTTTAAAAATGTTTCTCAATGTGAATAATCAGATCACTGTATAGTGCTAACTTATTCCCTGGAGGGATCGTGTTCTGAATGTAGATATTGTTCATTAATATCTGTTGGTCATGAGATGTTTATTATTGGAGATGCTATATTGTACATTATGTATGGTGATGTCACTATATAGTGACTTGAATTTCTTTTTTTTTACATAAACGTGATAATTCAAAAACGGTGTTTTGTGTGTATCTAATTTTTCATGTGTGATACTGCCTGTATGCACTAAAAGCTACTTTTGTTTCTTTGTTAGAAATTAACCCAATTCTTTTGTTGGAAGCATGAGAAGTGAAGACAGGAGAGGACTTTAAAATCAACAAAGTTTACTGAAAGTCTGAGCACAGGTAGGCCTTACAGCGCTGGGATCAGAGAGACCGAGCTCCCGCAGGAGTTCCATCCTCTGAACCCCAAATTAAGGTCTAACAATACATTTTATCTTCTTGGGCTGCTCCGCCCTGGACAGGGGTGCAACCTTCAATAGTTCGTGATTGTATTGGTCATTTGGTGTGAGCCGGAGCTCACACTTCCATGTTGAAATATGGTAAATCTAGTTATGTGTGTGTCTATCAGGTGGCGGTTTGGTCTTAATCAAGCGCACAGAACAATGGGTTATCGGGTTGCAGGCCCCCTGTGTGTGTGATGCTAATAAGTATGCTAAACTGGCCAAATGGTCATCTCAGGTTGTGACCCCCCCTGTGTGTGTAACAGAACTTGGAATATGCTATGTGGGTCTAGGTGTGGGTGTGAAACAGGTCTCTGTTAAAATGTAAATAGGCTGTCTGGTCACAAAGAGATGCAGACATCCTGTCTCTACACAGACGTTATAGCAGACAGTTTCTACCTCAGCATCACTTGATTCTCATCAATACAATTGTAAGATACATAAGAAAGGAAAATAAATGCATTAAGAATAACCAAAGCTCAGTAGTTCTGGACAATCATCAATACAGCTGTAATATGTATAAACAGGGAAAATAAAGTTATGAAAAGTAACTAAAGGGAACTAAATGTAGCCCAAGTGTGAAATGTTTGAACAAGTTCAGTGTTACTTCTGGGAAAAGACTTTAGCTTATGTTAAAACAAGTTGCAGTTCATTGAATGCTATGAAAGGGTTAATATCTTGGCGCCGCTGGTTGACTGTGAGCTGACCAATCAGTAAGCTGAATAGAATAGTTGGCACGCGCTAGTTCCGTATTCCAGTATCCATGTTTTCCAGCTTTCTTTGCCTCTGCACGGGTACTCTGCCTGCATGCTGCTCGGAGAAATAGCAAGGACCCTTTTTGTGTCAATTGCGTGGAAAAAGTAAGACATTATGTTTTAAAATACAGTCAGCTTATTCTGTTAGTGTCCAGAGGTAATTGACTTGTATGTTGTTATGTGTAAGCATTGTAGAACGGGGTGCATAACCAAAACACCCGCCGACCAGCTGACATAAAAGAGAAAAGAAGTGTGATAACTACTCAACGGTGAGCTATATTGTCCGAGTTATTTGATTTATTATGTCAAATGTTTAGAGATGGTTGCACCTGTATTAAGCTGAAGTTATTTTATCTTTGTGACCTAGTTGCTGTGAACTGTGGATGGGGAGAATGGTGGGTCGAGTTGTATGTTGTGTTGCTAAGCTATGGTAATTCAAGGGTCAATTTTTTGTGCATTCTCTTGCTGTTACCGGTGCAGAGAGGGATAAATAAGCACGTGAGCCTAAATGCCCTAAGTTATAATGCTGTGAGTTAGTTCTGCCTGTTTAAGGGTGCACTGTGTAACTTTATTTTCTAATACCAAGATGTTTATTAAGGAGCTGTGGTTGCCATTTGAATGCATTGGTTGTTGATTATATTTGCATTTTACAGTTATATTAATTAATGTATGGGAAATGTATGAAATTAGACACGATTGAATTTTGTAAAGAGTATGAAACTGATTTCAGTCATTTTGATTGGTCTGATCTGTTGTAGGTCAGGTTTTTTTTTTTTTTTTGGTAGAAGAAAAGAAACAAAATAGTGACCGCTGAATCATCTGTACAAATGCTTCTTGCTAAACCAGGACCAACATACACAAAGTACCTGTTAAACGTATCAACTGCATCCTCCATTCTGTTGACCAGTGTATCATTATCCATAAAATATTGGGGGTAGTTATTCTTGCTGGGACTATTCCTAATCAATTTATTTAATATATTCCAAGTACCTCTCATGTTATTTTTATTATCCTCTAATACTTTAGAATAATATTGTTTCTTACATCTCCTCAGAATCTCAATTAATTTGTTCTTGTACTTGTGTAAAATTGTGTTAATACATTTTGAGCTTTACAAATCTAACTATTGTGTTGCTCTTTATTGACATTCCTCCCTGGCTCCTTGGGAAATCTGGTCTCTTCTGGTACTGGTCCAAATTTGACGTTTCTTCGAATATCTAACTGTATCTATCCAAAGAGGATTTAGGTGGAGGTTACAAAAAGGTATGAGAAGTAACTAAAGCTTATAAAGTAACTAGAGTCTATAAGACTCAAATCTTACATCTTGTTACATCTTGATCCATCTTTCTGTGCCTAAAGTAGGCAAAATCATAGGCCTACATTTCGGAAATATCAGATACACGTTTGTGAACATATTGAAACCAGAAGAGAGCGTCATGGTGTCTGAAAGCGCGAAAGTCTTCAGGGCTATAAATGAAAGTGAAACTATTCTTCTGGGTTGCCAGGTTTGTTCAAATCTACAATTTATACTCTTGTCTGGAGTTTCTAGACCAAGTACAGTCAGTTGCCGTAAAAACACCAGTGCAATCATAACCTGGATTTGGTTTTCTATGGTCAGGCTGACTGGGACAGTGCTTTCATCTAGTTTTGTTAAAGTCAGCTCACGCTATACAGAGTTTTGTATATTTTAGGACATTGAAAGGAAGATGATTGTTTAAAAGTAGAATTTGGATGTTTAATAACTGTTTTAATGCTAGTCTTACTATTTTGAGACAAAAGTACAATATTTGCCTTTAAAATGTAGAGACGGCGAAGTATGAGGCACTAGAAAACAATCCCCCGGTTGGCCTCCGGGGGATTGTTTGGGTACAACTTGGCAACCACCAACCAAAAAAAGAGGTTTACGAGTGTTGCGGTTCAAGGAACGAAAGCAATTTGGACTGTGTTAAAGTAGTAAATCCTTGCTTGAACACAGTTAAACACTTGATGTAATTCCAGGAAATCTGTTTGAAGAAATGGGCCGCGATGGAAAAGTGTCCTGCGTACTCTGTCACCGGTCCGAAGAGACGAAAACAACCGGATCGTTGTCAACCAAAGACAAAGTCACTGCTCATGAAAATTGTTTGGTAAATAACCTACCGTTTTGCTTATGGGTCTTAATTCTCTTCTAACCTGTGGCTAATGATCTAATTCTATCGAGCTGTGCATTGAAATGTTCAGATTTGCTACAAGGAGACAGGTGGTAGCGATTAGTGTCGTTCAAACTAACAGCTCGTCGTTACTAGTGATGTGTAGTTCACGAACGATTCATTCATTTTGAACGAATCTTTCCCATGACTCGAACATCGGGTCGTCTCGGGGAGTGATTCGTTCATGTTATGTTAACCGCGCATGCGCAACAGCGCATAAGATTTGACACCTTTCGAGTCCTCTGTTTCGAGTCGTTCGTTTTTGTAACGTGACATGACCGCTTTGTTGGATACAAAATTAATTTTCAACCGTCCTTACAGTTTTTTGTACTCTTACTGTTACGTGATGCATTTATTTTTATTATAAAATAGCTTTTTATTTCCTACAGCCTATAAGTTTGCGAATATCTGTCAATATGGTTCTCTTCCATAACACTGAATGTTTTAATAAAGAGTTGGTTAATGCTTTAAACTTCATCAGGCAGATTATTTTTCTATACTATACAGAAGACAGCATGGCATAGCTTAGCTTAGGATGTTAGGTGACAAAAGACCAAACGAATTTGACCCAAAATATCGGAGGTGAAGTGATGAAGTAACAGACTGCATAGCCTCAAGACACAGGTACCATATTACTTATATGACCTTGGCTACATTACAGTTGTTTCTTATTCGAAACGTCATCAATATGTGCGGAAGTAGATGGGGAATTAACATGGAACATTTTAATTACATTCTGCTGAAATGAACGAAATGACTAAAAAAAAGATTCGTTCATTTTGCTGAACGAGATTCAAAGAACCGAATCGGTAAAACGATCCGAACTTCCCATCACTACAACATGCAGCTCCGTACAATGCAAGCAAACAACTTCACATGAAAGGTTTATTCCTGCTATTTTGTATAACACTTAAATCTACATTTTTAAATCACCATAACTCATGTTCTTTGTGCTGTGCAGGTGTTTGCCTCTGGTATTTATTGCAAGTTATCACCAGAGTTCGACGACCTGTTCGGTTTCTCTGTAAAGGATGTGGTGAACGAGGTGAAACGTGGAAGCAAACTGGTAAGGATTGTTTTCAGATACCAATTGGCCAAATCTACCTGTTTGCCAGAAACTATTTTGAGCTGTGTTAATTGTGTATTTGCATTAGCATTGTAGCAAATGTGGGGCAAAGGGTGCCACTGCTGGGTGTGAACTCAAACGCTGCAAGAAGTCCTACCACTACCCCTGTGCTGTTGAAGATGGCGCTGAGTCTATTGAGGATGAAGCCACAGGGAAATACGGGCAAGTCCAACATATTACTTTATTTTTATGCATGTGTATGTACAGTGTATCCAACACATGGTAAAACACAGCAAATACAGACTAGACACACTTCAAAAAGAACTGTGTGCTCAGCAGTAACAGACATTCCTCTGTTTCTCTTACCTGTTGCACCTGTTTGTATTTCAAGAAGTACAAATATTGCACTTCATTTTTAGTTGGAGGTTCAAAAAAAGCGACAGAAAAGTAAAAGTTTAATACAATTAAGCTTTTCATTAAAGAAAAGTTGCAAAAATGTTTGTGCATGCTGGCAATTACAGTTCTTGGAAAGAAAATTGGAATCAGCCAAAATTGGAAGCGGCAGGTCAGACTTAAAAAAATTCGAATTGGCCTTGAAAATTACAGTCGGTGCATCTCTTCTAAAAATGGTCATGCATTGTAACACATGCTATGCTGCTGCAGATATCTGTTTTTAATTGTGGTTCTTATTACAGTTACAGAAAAAAACCTGATTGTTTTTGTAAAACTACCTTTATGTGTTTTTATGCCTCAGGCTGTACTGCTCCAGACACAAACAAGGACAGCAAAGTAAGTGGGCGACTGAGCTCCAGACACAAACAAGGACAGCAAAGTAGGTGACTGAGTTTTTGCCTTTCTTCCTATCTTTTTGGAACCCTTCCTTGTTCAGTGTATGAGACATTGTTTTTCTTTTCTGGAACAGATGACAGCGACTCTGGAAATGGATGTACACCTGTCTCCAACAAACCTAAAACCTCCAAAAATGATAGTGAAACTGGATCATCTAAGGTCTGATTAATGGAACTGTCTCCCACACAGACTTAAAAGCATGTCATGTAAAACTGCAAGTCCTTAATATAGGCTCAGTAATTTCTTGAAACAGCTGGGCGCTGTAGTTTGCAATAAATATTACTCAAGCCAGAAGAAATAGGGCATTTTTAGGGATGCAGCGATACCGATATCAGTATCGGGACCGATACCACCCTCAGGTACTTGTACTCCTAAAAGTTGTCAGATACTACGCACTGATACCACTAAAAGGCTACATTGCATTAATCACGCTGGCTGAGCCAGTCAGTGGTACAGGTACAGTAGTTAGTATTTTACTGCAACAACAATGCTCGATATGTGCAACAAACTCCAGCAGCAGTGAAGAGGGTAATTAATTAAGCGCCTGTTGAACAAGCAGAACACAGCAACAAACTTGAAGTCATGCGACGTCTTCACTCTTCTCGTGGTCAAACTGCCTACCCACTAAATCCACACGGTGCTCGTTCTGCTGACTGTAGTGAATTGTTGAGGACAAGAAAAAACAAACACTCATTTTATGTAGCTAAAGGTGGAGTCAGAGCTCTGTGTGTGAAGATGAGTTGAGTCCTTGTGGAATTGGAGACTGAGACCAGCAGCTCCTACAGCAGTGCATGTAGGCTGTGTGTCCGGCAGGGAGGGCAGGGTGAAGCCACAGGTAGCCAGTTTAAAGTAACAACATGTGCCCTCGTTAAATTGCTGACTGTGATATTATGTGCTCCCAAACTGTTGTGAAATAATTTCGTTACACTCCTATAAAGCCTAAAAACCGCTGTAGTAGAGTGTATTGTGCTGTAGCTTACAGACCTTCAGTCAGTTGCACGTTATATTCAGTAGGAGTGGTGGCAGTGCTTTGTTTATCACAGTTTTCAAATGTGCACAGCCTCCTGTTATATTTTAATTAATCATCATGAGGGAAATCTCATGAAGATAAAAAATTGTAGTTTTTTTATGGTCATTGTAATTTTTCTAGTAGAGACACAGTACTTGTATTATTACTCAGTATTAGCAGGAACTCAAATGTAAGTATTTGTACCTTGTCTGAAAAATAGTTTTCTATTACAAACACAGGGTTTTATGTTAATGAATGAACATGTCACTTAGTACAATAATGTGAAATGAAATGACCATTTACTTCCACAAATAAATACCAAAACAATTACATCTAAACAACGTTTTTTTTAACTTATCCTGTTACTGAGTAGAATAAATAAACCCAAATTAACAAATAAACAAAAATTTTCAATGAGAAATATCACATTTGATGTTTTAATCTAGTCCTAGTTGACAAGTGATGTAATGATATGCATTTTATTTTTATGAGGTATTTTGCCTTGCCTGTGAGAAGAAAGAAGGAAGTATCAGTTTGGAAAGTTTGGCTAATAACATCGTTAAGTAAGTGTGTTCACATTTTACTGACATTTTCCTAGTCTGCTATTAACATCAGTATCTGATCTCACTGCGACAACCATGTACTGTGTGTGTGTTTTTAGATTGTATTGTGACAAACATGCTCCTTCATCATTTAAGAGGAAAGCCAGCGGTGAGTCCTCTTCCAAGTGTCTCATTGATTACTGGGTTGTTTTTCTTCTTAGTACAGCAGCTTAAATATTTTTCTTCTCGACAGATGATCCTACAGCAGCTGGACCGTCTGACGGCAGTGATTCCAACCCCTCCAGCAATGTGATGCATTTACATTCAAAGGTAAAAATATTATGTATAGTCACTTAAAAAAGGCTTTTGAATACTAATTTATTTCTTTTCTTCCCCCCCCCCCCCCCCCTGGGAACAGAAACAGCTGATTTTTAGTGACAAGTAAGTGTGTGATCAACTTTTCAGTTGATGTTTTAAAACCTGTGTCGAATGTGTTGCATCTCATGCTTACTGCCATTAGGACCACTCAAATGATTATTTCTAATATGAATGTTATAATATTTTGTCATTTCTATTCGTTTTTTCTTATACAATTACATCCTTGGTTTTTTTTGTTTGTTTGTTTTGTTTGTTTCCTTTGTTAACATGAGCATGCACTGCTATTCACTCAAATTTTGGCCACAGTTAACAGACCATAATGGCACGCCATGTATTTTCATTAGAGTACCTGATTTTAAAGCATTTTTAATCTATCAATGTTGACACACTGGTAGAAATTGGTGCTACGGTAGAGTATGCTACGTTAGCAGCGTGGCTAACCAAAACAACAGAAACTAGCGGACTGGAGACATGAATGAAGCCACTTATGTGAACTCGTCACAACGTGGTTGTATCGTACATGCCTACAACACTCTCTGCAACCTCTCATTCCTCTGACCAATGCAGCCCCTTGAGTAAAAACACAGCAGGGATCAGCATTTTACCGCACTCGGTCTGAATGCACGCTTATGATGCCATCTCTGTCCTTTGTCACAGGCAGGGAGAGAAACATAAATCTAAAAGATGCAGAAGGAGAATATCAGATGATTCTTCAAACTCAGGTTAACCACCTTACAATAAATGACAGAATGCAACCCATGTGGGTTTAGTGCTCTTAATTTCTTCTTCATCTTCTTCTTCAGATGAGAACAAATCTAACAAAGATATGGAAATATTTGCCCCTTTGGAGTCGGATTTAGAAGAGAGTGCAAACGCTGTTCCAGAGAATGAAGTGAGTCTAATCTTTGATTATTTCTCAGCAACATCATCATTATGGCTTGAAGATGTTTAATAATCTGATATAAATTTTTCTTTTTCTCCAGTTGTTGACTGTGCTTCAGTTGACCAGGTAAGTCTTATTCTCCTACTCATGAAAAATTTGTAATAATAACAAGTTAGAATTTTTACCTCTGACATCTCAAAGTACAGTAGAGAATAATTTTTTTAAAATGCTGTTCTCCACTCATAGAAAACGCACTGAGAGTCCCAGAGGGTCCCCCTCAGGTAAACAGCCACAGCAGATTGCAGCATATGTAGCACTGTGTACAACTGGTCTGTAAACTCCTGCTGTCTCCCTTTAGCAACTCAGCTTAGAGATGAGAACAGAGATGGAAATGAAGAAGAAGATGAAATAGTCATACCTTCAGTGAGTTGTGCATATGGCTTCATTGTCAAACCTGTGTCCTACCT